TTTTTTTCATATAAAATTAATGTAATCTTAGTCTTAGATAAGTTTATCACTTAACCAAAGTGAAAATAGTAATAATAATAATATACTTACGGAGCACCAACTAAAAGTTTGCTGATTTTCAATACAAATCTCTCAAAAGACGTTTGAACAGGTCGGTTAAAAAGACACCAAATAAATAAAAACGGATCAAATTACTACAGCGTCATCTTCCTTAGAGTCTGAACTAAGTCCTCCGTAGGTAAAAAATTTTTTATTTGCAATTTGAAATAGTGAAAATTAAATAAAACTAAAATGAGTAAACTCGCCCCTGGATGGGTAGACTCGCCCCGGTTTACGGTATATCAAGCTGCAACATTTTATTTAAAGTAACATTCAAAAAACAATGCCAAATGCTGTGAATTTAAGTTTTTACATTACCTAAAACTTAAAGTGATTCTGAAAAGTTCCATTTTAAGATGACCTACACCATAAAGGGTGCGAAAACTGAGTTTTGCCCAGGTGTTGCAAACCCTAAAGTATTCATAATCAATTTCAACGAATATAGTTCTCTAATTTATCATCTGAACATGCCTTGTATAATTGAAAAATGTTTCATTAAAGATATTTTTAATTATTATTTTTTGCCAATTGTTGGAACGAAACATTAATATACACGAATTTTATTTTTAAACATATAATATTACCTTAACACATCTTTGACGCATGTATTGACGAGAAATTGTACGTTTTTAGAACGGAAATTAAATTTACTTAAAATCGGAATTAAATTTTGTAGAAAACGAACTCTATTCATTTATAAAACCGTTTGCTGAAGAAAAGAAATGAACTTTTTTTTCCTCACTTAAAAATTTTATTTTTTTTAATATTATGTAAAGTTTTGGTGCAATTTTTAAGTTACATATTGTTCTCTAGTAATACTTTTTAAGTTATGCAACATTTGATTTTACAAAGAAGTTTAAAATGGCTAACTAAATAACAAGTCTAAAATTATTTCGAATGATTCGCTTAAAAAATTGTGTTTGTTTTCTTATTTCCAAATTGTCATTTGGTACGTCACAGCTATGTTGAGGACTTATATAGTTCGATAGCAACGATAGTTTTTGCGTTGTGCTATATTGAATTTAAAAATGAAAATTTGAAATAAGAAATTAGAAAAAATTCTAAAAATTTTTCATCCGTAAAATCATTTGCTTAAAAATGTGTTCTTTTATTTGCCGCAAAATGTCTTTTTTTTTAAATTTGATTTGGGAAAGCACTTATTTTTAATTGCATATCATAAATTGTGGAACATTTTATGTAATAATAACATTTCTTAATTTGCTATCTTTAAAAAAATACTATAATAAAATAAATATTTACGAAACCAATTGTTTAAAATATTGTGTTCTTTTTCTTATTTTAAAATTTTAGTTTTAATATCCTTTGGTAGATAAAAGAAATTTTGGTTACATAATAAATAGTTTTGCAAATTATATGCAATTTATAGACGTATATTAATTACAAACATAGTAAACTATAACTATTTAATATTTATAAACAAAATTACAGCAAAAAGGAAAACTAAAGCTTTGTTACTAGTAGCTTTATTTTTCCTTTTTGCTACTAGTAGCTTTAGTTTTCTTTTGTACAGTGTGCCAAAAAAAAAAGGACCGCAGTGAATAACTTCTGATCTAATGATCAAAACTTCACGTTCTAGGACTCAACCTTAATGGTTTAAGGAGATGACCTCAAGTATGCTAATTAATAAGTGCAACCGATATTTTAAGTTACAAATCCAGGCACAGAAACGTACTTTCTCTGAATAAACATGCCTTTTTTTCCGACGGTTTTAAATTTCTGACCCCCAAAATATAGGAGGTATCAGCAATCTGGGAAATACGGTCCCAGAAGTTTAGTCTAGAGAGCGATCTAAACTTTAAACCCCCTAATGTTAATTTCATTATTTGCTTATTTCGCCATATCTCGAGAATTTTTTAAGTGAACTGAAAAATTATCACTCACAATTATAACAATCAGAATGAGCCCTAGAGCGTAAAGATTCGATCATAAGATCAAACGTTATTCAGGGTGGTCTGTTTTTTATTTTGCGCACTGTACATATCTTTCTTAAAAAGTTTACCATTGCTGATAAACAAGAGAACGTTAATCCTCAATCGATAGTCCCAAGTACGAATTGAGATTGTATGAAAATTTTTTTCGAGGTTGAATATCTTATCAATTGTAAAATAGGAAAATTACTAAATAAGAAAAGAAAATTCAACATATTTTATCTAGAGGTAGCAACAAAATTTATTTCAAGAAGAAGATATACTGCCTTTCTTGTCATTAATATTAGAAGAAACAATTCATCATAATATAAGTTGGGCCGATTATATCAAAAACATTATTTTTTATTCCTTTTATTTAGTTTATGTCTTATCTCGGTTATTATTAAATAATATAAAATAGCTTCAATTATTAATAATTAAACCGCTGTGACTCAGAGGTTTCAGCATTCGCCTGCCACTGAGATGTCCCAGGTTCGAATCCCAGCTGGTTGATATGAATTCTGCTCCCGACTCGCACCGACCACTGTCCTGATGTAAAAACATCCTCAATTGTAAGAGGATCGTAGGTTATAATCCCCTTTCCATCGGGCTAACCGTGGGAGGTTATCGTGGTTTTCTCCTCCATGTAACGCAATTGCGGTTAGTGCTATGAAAAATTTCTCCCCGAAGGCTACTTTGTCCCAATACCAGGAGTTCCTTTGCATTCCCAGTTAGGTTTGAAATTACAAAGCTGCGGAGTTGAGCATTGATAATAGTAAACTCAGATTTGGGTCGACTGTTCAATATCATTTATAAAATTAAAATAAAAATTTTATATTTTTTCACGTGAAAACAATTTTAATATTTCTTTTCTCATTTACAAAAACTAATAGGAAATCTTCCTAATTAATATGCAAAAATTCTAAGATTTGAGTTGCACTGCTATATTACAACATTAAAAACACGTTTTTATATCGTTTGACTCCAATCTTAAGCAACGCATTTTTTTTTTAACCTCTAGCTTAAACTGAACCACTTTTGTATCAAAAAATTGGTAAGAATTTCTAATACAAGTCTATAATTATCCTCCAAATTTGTAAACAAATTGTTATCATATGACGTAAATGTTGAGCAATGGTAAATCTTTTTTTTTAAAAAAAAAACTGTAAATTATCTGAACAAATTTAGTATTAAAATGTTCAAAATATTTCGATGTAAATCTAATTAGTCCACAAAATCTAAAAAAAGTGTTAAGTTCAGAATTGTTAAAATTTTTTTAAAGAGTACCAAATTTTTATAATGCCATGACTAAAGCAAAATACGAAGAAAAAATTTTATATCTCAATTTTTTACTTTAAAATCTCTTAATTCGTTAAAAATTACTGCGATTGGAAGTGACAATCAGCGTGCCTTACTTGTTAGGTTCATAGACTCACTACATTCGATTAATTGAATTAAAATATGTTCATTTACTATTGCCTACAATCGATTAAGTGCAAAAATGGATGTCTAGGCATACTTTTTTTTCTGAATAAGTTTATACGTTTCCTATGAATTCATGATCTGGGGATGAATGAATTGGTCCGCCCTATAAACGGGTGCGACGTATAGTGTGGCAGAAGTCGAATTCTTGGTCATAGATGGCGCCACTGAAAAATAAGAAACGCACACTCTGCCTTAAATTTGCTCGGTTTCCCCAAGCAAGCTTGCCCGTGTGGCAAGTGACATTAGAAACAACAACATGAATTCATACTATTTACCTATTAACATGAAAAATATTATAATCTATCCACAATATATATAGGTCACACAATATATATCCACAATATATATAATCTATCCACAATATATACTATATAACTCAAGTTTAACCTATCTGAAGCCAGCGCTGCCTATGCTTATTTTGAAAATTGTGCAAAACATTAATATGAAGAAACGTTTTGTGTAAATGAAAAACGTTTGTGGTCTAATTTTTTAATATTTAAGAACTTACTCCAATGCTGACTTTCTTGGGATCATAAAAATTTGCAAAAACTAAGAATAAGGCAGTGATTTTGATAATTTTCATCTAAGTGGAAAAATGTCGCCAAATTGGCAATTTTTAAAAAAGTTAATAACTTTTAAGATATTTAATTTATTTATCTGTTCTAAAGCCCAGATAATTCTTCACGGCAAGAGTTTAAAATCATCGCATTGCTTCAAGTGTAAGGCACTTAAACTATGGCTTTTTTTTATTTTCCTTGGCGACAGAGCTACGAAAAACAGCGTTAATGTAATCTTTCCGTCATCTCCATCTTATCTGTAAAACAAATCGAGCGTTTCAACAGATGTTGGTACCTATTTATAAAAATCATTTATTTAATGTATCATTCACATTTGTATGATTTTTCTCTTATATTTAATTTTTAATGAATTCATTTATTCTTCCAGAAATCTACAAAATGAGCTCCAATGATGGAAAAAGATCTTCGAAAGCCAACAATGACAGGCCAGTCTCTCCCGTTTCTTTATCCGAGAGTGACAACGAATCGTTGCCAGAAATCGAATGCAAACTTTGCAACAAATCTTTTGACAGCTACAATGCCTATCAACAGCACATCAAAAGTAGGAAACATTACAACCAAATGACAGCAAAGAAGATGTCCGCCAAGGCAGCGGTTGATAAATTAGTGGAGGATCATTCTGAAAGTGATGGGGATGACAAATACACGGAACTCAACTGTGACGTATGCTCTAAGACATTTTCTGGGTGCAAACCTTATGCTTCGCATCTTCATGGAAGTACTCATGCAAAAAACCTCAAAAAGCAAGCTTTGAAGGAAAAAATGAAAGACGTTCCCGGAGTTGAAAGCGACGAGGGTAGTGGCGACGATTGGATGCCTAAAACTGTCGCCAAATGCAAACTGTGCGAAAAGGAATTCACCAGTTTGGAATCTTTTCAGAAGCATTTATCGGGCTCTATGCACAAGAAGAAACTCAAGCAGGAAAAAATTCTTCAGTCTGTGAAAGATGAGCACAAAGGTTCAGATGTTGAAATGGATGATGATTTTTACAAGAAATGCGATGTCTGCGACAAGGAATTCAGTGGTCTATTACCGTATCAGAATGGGGAATAAAATCAAATGGGGGAATAAAATCAAAGAAATGGGGAATAAAATCAAAGATATGTGCACCAAAGAGTCTACAGACAAAAAGTTCATATGTAAAGAATGTGAACACGTGTTCCTTGATCCTTTCGCATTTCAATCACATCTCGACAACAACAGTCACAAGAAATACGAAGCCAAAAGCCAGATGACCGGAGTCGTCAATTCTTATCCAGAAATCGTAGCGTTAAAGACCGTCCAGAACAACCCAGTCGATACCGACGATCAAGATGAATACGAAATCGGAGACTATATATTGGTCTGTAAGTTGTGTCACAACAGTTTCAGTGGTCCTCAAAGCGCGATAGATCACGTGAAAAGCAGAAAGCATTTAAAAACAAAGAAAGAAAGAGAAGCCATGAAAATATTGCGTGAGCAGCAGAAAACGAATTCCTCCCAAGATGACAACAAGATTAAAAAAAAGTCTGCGAATGGCATTCTGAAGGATTCATCTGCTAAAGTATTGAATGGAGCGACTAAAGATGCTGAAGATGATGACGATTTTGAACATGTTTAATAATAGTATCAGCAATTATATCTTTAACTCTTCTTCTTCTTCTTTCCCAGCACTACTGCCTGTCACAAGTCAAGACTGTCTCCATGAGCCTTCTCAATATAACTCAGTAACATCAAGTTTCTATGTTTTCGTTACCATATTGTGAAATGTCAATTTCTAGCTCAAACAATAATTTAAATCGTCTTCTTAACGCATGCTCTGAAATAGAATGTTATGTTCCATACCTATATTCAGAACAACAAACAGGAGATTCATTGCTAGTCTAAATGTGATAGGTTAATATATTTTAATGATTTTTGTTGGAGTAGTAAATGTATAAAAGAATGTACTCAATGCATTAAGTGAGACTGTTTTAACACATGTTATCGAGAGAATATTAATGTTTATTCACAATTTATTACCATCACTTATGTATGTGCCAACTTAGCAAATGTGCTGAATTTTATTTCATCAGAACAAATATTTACTTAACTTACACTTTTTTTTATTACAGGTAAAAATTTAAACTACATTTCATAAATCTTAAAGAAAAATCAAATATTATATAAAATTTAGTAAGCAATTCATTATTTTATTTATTCAAAATGAAAAGATAATTGACAAAACATAATTAATTCATTATTGGTTATTTTATTCAAAATGAAAAGATAATTGACTAAGCATAATTAATTTGTTACTGATAAAAATGAAGCTTTTTTTGTTCTTAAGCAATTTGCAATATGCTTTAGTGAATTGCACATAGATTCAAACAAAAATAATGAAAATAATTCAATTGATTTTAATTATTAAACTTTGTTACAATTTCTTTATAGATTCTAAAAATTTAAGATTATCGAAATTATATAAAATTACAAATGAAAGTTAATATCTCTCTTTATATATTTTTTTAATTATTTGCATGCTTTAAGAATCATACCAAAATCCTAGTAAAATTTTTTAAAAAAATTACTAATTATTTTATCTGAAGAATTAAAATAAGTTTAAAGAAATGTGCAAAATTATCTGTGCCTGTTGAAACATTTTCGATACTTTTTACATTATGTGCTTTTTAAATCACGCACTAGTAGAAGTAATAAAAGTAATTGAAATGATTTCTATCAATTAAAAATATTTTAATTATCAAAATTTAAAAATTACAAATTATGTAAAATTATTAGTGAAAGTAACCTTAATTTTCCATATATATCTAAATTATCTATGCGTTTTAGGCACTTTTATACATTTCTTTTTAATGTTTACGAATGGTTATAATTATCATGAAAATAATCAAATGATCATAAAAATAATAATACGTAGTATATCTAAATTGTTTCATGTATAATAAATTAAAAGAAAAGGATTTATATAAAATTACAAGTGAATGTTAATTATATTCATTTTTTTTTAATTCTATAAAATTTGTAGTTTCTACAAAAATGCCAGTAAAAGTAATAAAAATAGTTAAAATATTTTAATAATTTTATAGATTAGACAACAAGGAATCATATAATATTGCTATCACACTTTTGACTTAAATTTATGTGATAGGAAGTATACAAAAATTGCTGGTTCAAGACTTGAAATTAAAGATAAGGAATTATTTAAAACTAATAGGCAAAAACCATTTTTTTCGTGTGTGTGTTTTTCAATTCTTCATATGCTTTAGGAATTATCTATAAAAGTGCCAGTAAATGGAATGAAATTTTTTATGTAAGAATGAACAAACAGGATAAAGAAAAATATAAACAAAAACAAGTCGTTGAATTAAGCTATATTTATTATGTTGATTAGCTAATCGGAAGGATTGTCAAAAGAAATTTCTTTTTACGTAATTTTTTTTTTTTTTTTTAATTAGCTATATAAGTCGAAATGATATGTTTTGCTTATCATGAATTTTAAATATTTTATTACAATAGTATTTAATATTATTTTTTAAAATTATAAATGAATTTAAAGATTAATGTTTTCAAAATTCATTTTATGCAACGTTTTAGACTATTGTTATTTAAGGTGGCAATAAAAGAATAAGATAAAGATGATTTTTAACTTTGAATAGTATTGTAGAACATGTAGTTACTTTTAATTTTTTTTGTTATGGTCTGTATCGTTAAAAATATATGCTACTTAAAATACTTATTCTATTAATGAGATAAAATTAGTTTTTTTAATGATAAATGTTTTTGTGAACAAAAAAGAACTAAATATTTCTACTTAATACTTTATATACTAAATATGGATTCGCTATATACAAACTCGCAAAACTTTTAAATTCTACGATTTTATTAAGATATCACAAATTTATAGTATAACAAAATATTTTTCATACTTTCATATGAAAAATATTTCTATCTGTAAGCGTTTTACTTAAGGATTGTATATTGTAGAACATTCAGTTCTTTTTATCTTTTTAGTTTTTTTTATCGTTTGTATTGTAACAATTATTTTCAAAAATATAAGCTACTTAAGGAATATATTCTATGAATGTAAATGGCATGAATTGTTTAACTAAATTAGCAAAAAAGTTCAATTTTTTTTTGGTACTTTTATGGCAGGAAATATTTATTGCAAATACGAACTTCTTTCTAATACTTTTTCTATTTTTTATAGCTGTTAATTAGATTAATTGTATAATTTATGAATAAAAAAAACATTTATTACTCCATTTATTCATAGATTAAAAACGTATCATTTATTTTTTCTCATGACGCGTTTCTTTTTATATACACTTAGTTTTCTTTGTTTCTGTTTATTCATTTTCCCAATAACTGTATGCTAATTGACAAAATACTTGCTGTTTGACTTTTATTGGAAGCTATATCAATTTTCCGAATGCGTGTGTACTTTTTGGAATTAAGGATAAATAAGAAGAAAAATACACAATGTATGAAATACCTTCTATGGAACTAATTATTGTTAAAAATGTAGTTTTCTTTGTAATTAAAGCAATAGCTTGACGGAAAAGAAAATTCTTCTTTGTTTTACTTTTTATTAACCCATTTTTACCTTCAGTATCTCTGTACAGATGGTTTTAAATTGCCCGTTTGAACTCACATGAACTTTTTTTTTTCTTTTTAAATATTTTTCAGCTTTTATTTCTTGTAAATTGTACCAATATCATCAGAATATAGTAAGTTCTCGGCAAAGAACATAGCATTTAATCTAAGAATGTAGTCTTTTTCTATATAATAATTTCATATATACTTCTGTGATTATTATAATTTTTTTTCTCAAATCACTCTCACATAAATTTAGATTTTGACGATGTTTTGACTTTAAAGAATAACGTTTAAAAACTGCAAAAAAAAATAATTGCATAAAAGAAAAAGATTTCAAAATTTCCAAATACGGTTTTCCTATAAATTTTTTCTTCTTCTCAATTTCATAGCATATAAGATTAATATGCAAACTATTGCAAAGGTGAGATTGATGTACTGTGGGTTAATATGAGTATTACTTTGTATTTATTTACTTTGGATTTATACTTTGTATTTATTTTGTCTAATGTATTGACTTATGCACATTATAATATGTATAGCTATGCTTTGTTTAAAAATAAACTTCGAGCATTTATATCTCTGGTTTCATTTAAGCAATCGTTTATTTTTTTTCCTTCTATACTTCATCAATATGGTTGATTTTTCTTGATTCATAGGTTAGTTCTTGAAAGAGGAAAAAATATTTACTAACAAATAATTACTGACAAAAATATTTAATATTTACTACTTTTATTTACTTAAATTTTTGTTTAAAATTTATTCACAATGTTGGTTTTTCTTAATACGCAGGTGAGTCTTAAGAGAAGGAAAAGAAAGGGGGGGGGGGAACTAATTTGTTCGGAGTACATGAACATAATAGTAAAGGTGTGTTCATAATTCTGCAATGGCGTTATTATATGTTTACAGACAGAAAACAAGGAGTGGGTGAAAATATTATTAGCAGATATAGAGTGTTATTGGAGTTATTAATAACTCCAGTAATGTTTCTTTTCCAGCTAACGCTATTTGAACTTTTAAGTTCATGAGAGGAAATTCTAAAACGAAGAACAGTATCGTGAAGTAGTAGAAAATTAGATTGGCTTTATCAGGGTGCGTAGCCAAATTATTCAACAAAAAATAAGCACCTTTTAAAGCACTCAAAAATATTTTTAAGCACTTTAAAAAAATATCATAATTAGGCAAGGTTGGAAAGTTTTTGACAATTGACGGTTATATCCATCATGATGGAAAAAAAAACCTTTCGGCATAGTTTTTGACAATTGTCAAACATCATGAAATTTTGAATCTTGTAAAACGAATGGCGTTTTCATACGCTACGGACTGACAATACGGACTGACATACGCTACGGACTGACAAAGTAGATTGATTGGGTTTGAATTAATTGTGAAAACGTTGAATAGAACAATGTAGACTGTGTCTTTTTGCATAATTCGAAGCGAAAATCATCATGGTAAAGAAAAATCTCATTTTGAAAAAAAAGAAAATTAAGCACCTTTTAAAACATCCAATGAAAAAAAGCACCTTTAAGGGCTTTTAAAAATCGAAAATAAGCACCTTTAAAAATGCTGCGCACCCTGTTTATGGTTAATGTCAGACAAACGTTATGCAGAATATCTCCATTCTTTATTTTTGTATTCTTATGAATAAAATAGGTATGGCGGAATAATTTTTAAAAAGAAAAGAATGAGCAATAAAATCTGGTGAACTATAAGCGTGGATGGTGATATTAAAAAAAAATAATAATCGTGTGATTGCCAGATGAAACTGACAGTAAAGAGGCATGGTAGAAAAATTTATAATTGTGCACTTTATGATGAAAGCATAAAAATTTTGTCTCTGTTAGTACATAACCTGAACAAGATTTTAATTTATTGAGGCCCTTTCCTTTTGAATCTGTAAGGTTTTTATTAGGGAAGGGGAGAAAATAAACATTGCTATCAAATGAAATGTGTATTGTTTCCGATTTATTTTGCTTTCTTATTAATATATTTTTTACACTAAAGAAAATGAAATTAATCCTAAGTCGACTTTTCTCTTAGAACTATGTTTAACGTAGTTTTCATTTCCTTACTTAAAATATATTAATCTATTTGAAAAATCAAGACAGATCTAACGTACTTCCTGCTTCTATGACTCTCCACACACTTATGGAGAAAGCGTGCGAAGTGATGCCATAGGTACAGAGTTCTGCTCTACGCCACCTGTAGCCCATTTCGATCGCCACTTCGAAAGTATTAGCTCTATTGATTTATTTCCATTTTTATGCGGAAAAAAAATTTACTTAAATGATTTCATCAAAATACATAAAATAACAGTTCTTCATTTCCGTCAATACAAAATTGTACTTTTTGTACATAAAACCTTAAGAACTTCAAAACTCACACACATCTACTTGGGATTGGTTTCATTCGATTCAGTGTAGAAAAAATACTTTTATACCTTTGGATTTATCTAGAGCAGAGGTCGCCAAAGTGATCTACATAGACCCCCAGGGGTCTATTTAACAAAAGTGGGGGTCGATCTGAGCCAGGGGGTCGANTTCTTATTAATATATTTTTTACACTAAAGAAAATGAAATTAATCCTAAGTCGACTTTTCTCTTAGAACTATGTTTAACGTAGTTTTCATTTCCTTACTTAAAATATATTAATCTATTTGAAAAATCAAGACAGATCTAACGTACTTCCTGCTTCTATGACTCTCCACACACTTATGGAGAAAGCGCGCGAAGTGCTGCCATAGGTACAGAGTTCTGCTCTACGCCACCTGTAGCCCATTTCGATCGCCACTTCGAAAGTATTAGCTCTATTGATTTATTTCCATTTTTATGCGGAAAAAAAATTTACTTAAATGCAATACAAAATTGTACTTTTTGTACATAAAACCTTAAGAACTTCAAAACTCACACACATCTACTTGAGATTGGTTTCATTCGATTCAGTCTAGAAAAAATACTTTTATACCTTTGGATTTATCTAGAGCAATATTTAAGTTTATCCTTCTTTTATCCCCTCGTTCTTCCAGTATAACCAGTAAGGATGAAGTGTCCGAATATCATGTTCTCATATCCCAGAGATGCCAACTTGCTCCGGATCGCAAATATATATTTAAAAGTGGTAGTTTATCAATTGTGATTCTTGGTTTAATAAATTCAATTTAGCAGATTTCTTGTCACCACTATTTCTAATTATTTGCGAAGGCTTATATAATTCACGTGAATAATAATAATACACTTAATAATACTTATGTCCTACCTTTTGCAAAGCAAGCAAAAATAGTCAAGTATTGTTGTTGTAGTTCATTTACATCGCATTAGAGCTGCACAATGGGATATTGGCGACGGTCTGGGAAACATCTCTGAGGATGATCCGAAGACATGCCGTCACAATTTTGATCCTCTGCAGAAAGGATGGCACCCCCGCTTCGGTAGCCCAACGACCTGCACGCGAAGTTGAGCACCTTACGGTAGCACAGTTTAACGAGGACCTATACCGCACACCCTCGGTCCCTACGCAGACTGATCCAAGTGGTCACCCACCCGCACACTGACCGCAGCCAGTGGTGCTTGACTTCGGTGATCTGCTGCGGGACTGTCTTTGCACAATTTTTGACTGCCACAAGTATTTGCAAAAGTTACTTTTGTAGTAACAATGATAAACATTATTTTTTACGTACAATTTTTTTTTTAATTCTAAATTGCACTCTTTCTCCACGAGAAGCAATTGTTACTTATTAGAAGCATCTTCAAGTTAAATCCGGCAATCAAATTAAGTTTGATGTTTTTCAACTCGTTTTCCTCACTTGTAATATTATTATAGCGTATTTATTCTTTCCTATGTCAAATATTATTTTTTAAACCTAATACGATTAATTTTTTTGCAAGAATTCAAAAAATATATATCAGAAGAGATGTTCACGGTACACTTTGTATATCTCTAGTTTCAATAATTTATTTTAACAGAATTTTTCCAAAAAAAAATAATATGGTATAAACATTTTGGGCTAATACAATTTTCAGGCATTTAGCAAACAACTACCGTTATTTAGCAATGCGTCAGGCAATTGGAAAACTTATAAATATTTTTTAATCAGCCTAATTTTTTTAAGGTTTATCACAAAGAGAACATATAGCTTTATCCTAATTAGTAAATACATCATTTAGGTGATTTCTCCAGATAGAGACAGCTTGCAAGATTTATTGAAAGGTCTCGAAGGCTTATTACATTATCTAACTATAATCCAAAGTAAATTCCGTCAGATTGAGTAATTCGTCGTACAGATCTTAATTAGCCTAAAGGCATATAAATCGATTGTAATATGCCTATAAATAGATTAGAAAATACGGAAGACTTTACTAGTCTGTCGGGCGAAATATACTTCCGATGTGTCTGCATTTATAAAAAAAGAAAAACAGTCTAATAGTTATTAAAAAAAATCTGTTTATCGGATTTATATTTGTGCAAATATATGAAATCCAAAAAAAAAATAAGCCTTTTAAATAGGGCTCGAAAAAACTCAGAAATTTTACCCGTCCCCGACGATGGTTTATCCAACAATGTACCCGTCCTCCTTTGAAACTAATAACTCGTAGCTTCTGAATAAATAAAAATATAATTTTCTCTTGTTTATTACAAACATTTATATAAATTGCACAATGAATTAGTAGTTACTAGGATTACAAATACTAGGTTACTAATAGTAAAACCTAGTATTTCTTTTATGAAATAATTTATTTCTTTTATGAAGTAATTTAAATGACAAAGGTCAAGTTATCTGGAATGTCAATTTATCCGAGTGTACTGCGTTTTTTAAATGAATCATATATGACGTTTGTCAGTTCCACAATCAAGCCAATGATTTACAGAGGTTTCTGCACGGAAATCTGAAAGTGGTTTTCCATTTAGGTAGATGTTCATAATTGCGTTTAACGCTTCTTGTTTAGGACCAGTACGTAATGCGTTTTTTTGTAAGTTCATAGCTGAAAAGCCCCTTTCAACTGCTGCAGTACTCCCAGACAGAGAAAACATCAGTTCCACCATGCGCAGTATGTTGCTGTATTTGTAGATTAGAGGGTCATTTTAGAAGTAAGGTGCTGGTTCTTGTAAGATAACAAATATTGAAAATGTATCACGAACATTAAAGAGAAAATGGCCGTCCGCGCGGATGTCGTATTCGAGAAATTCGTTGTCCGCGGGGAATTTTTGACCGCCGAGGACGGGAGGTTTTTCGAGCCCTGCTTTTAAAACTGTTTTTTATTCATATTCTAACATTTAATAATTCTTTATTTTCTAATGATTATCGGAATTACATTTGTGCAAATATGGAAAATCCAAATAAACTAGCTTGAAATGCTTTTTTTTAATACAAATTCTAACATTTATCAAAAATTTATTTTCTAAATTAAAGAAATTTCAATGATGAATAACTATTTCTCTCAAAACTGAATTACCACAAATTTAAAAAAAAAAATTTTGATAGTGACTAGTCAGTTCCTATATCTATTTCACAACTATAAATTTTTGAAATTCGGAAATATAATATTTTTCACTTACTTTGACCTAAATTAATGCAGATTATTGAAAAAATATGAAAAGTATATTTAATAAAAAATTCTGCGTAAAACCGCATTTTTGTTTTCGTTTTGTAATATAAATACGTATATCACAATTAAGTTAATAATTTTTTTTCAAACGTTATTTTGTGGNTTGTAATCATGATTACAAGTAATTGATTACTGTAATCAAAAAATGTAATCGATTACATTTTTGGCCAACTCTGATACACACTAGTTCTCGTTTTTTACACAGAGGGCGTTGCTCGAATACAACACTGAACAGACATTATTTTTTAATAAGCTTCATTTTCCAGTCATAACTATAGGCAGTTAACCTGCTTTTGTAGTTAAAATATCTAGAAATGCCAACTGTCATACTTAAGTCATAAAAGATACGAGGAATTTATTTCATGTCTTTATTCTCTATACCAAACAAAAACTCTTTCTTTCCTTTAAATACATTACTTCCAACATAAGAAATAAGTATAAAAATATGAATTTTTTTAAGTCACACAAATCAAATTTTTGAGACACAATTTTGTGAAATAAAATATTGACACATTTAGGATTAGTTCATAAAATGTGCTCCTAAAAACTCTACATATAACTCAACAGTCACTTAACAAATTTGATTTTTTAAAAAAAAAGTAAAGCATATTATTCAGGTATTTATACCAGCTGGCTTTCTTCAAAGACATGCAGGGATCCATCAACCTGAAGCTAGGTGGGCTTCATAACTCAACAAGTGATAAACTTCAGTTCTTAAGACATGATTTTCTGTGCATGGTTCAGATTGACAAAAAAGAAATAAAAGTTTTTATATATTAAGCATAAATAAATATATACATTTAAATAATTTTATATATGGTGATATGGTTTGACGAAGAACTTCAATAGTATAGCTTTATAAACTTTTTTCAATGATGTTTCAAGTTTAAATATTAATAGATAAGACTTTTCCAAGACTTTTTTAAAATATGGAAAATTACAATATTTGATAGAACATTTAACAGTAACTACAAGGAATAATAGTTGCTGCGATATACTATATCTCAAAGCAATTTGAATTTTTTTTGAAACTATAATTATTACTCAAATTTTTTAAGCTGTTTTTAATGTTTTTTTAAAATTGATTTTGGTTTAAAAACAATACCAATTTTGAGTCTAATTGATTCGGAGGTATCAAAAATTGATCAAATAGTTCTCGATAAATGAAATTTTAAAAATACAAATTTATAAAAATCTCAGAAACCATTCAACTGATTTCTTTCAAATTTTGTCCTTTTAAATTATTAACTTTAAAAAAGTATAAAAAAATGTACACCTTCCAATTCAATACATTTTTGACTATTAGTAAAAAACTGAATAAATAATTATTAAAAATTATTTTTTATGTGAAATTATATACTTTTGGATAAATACATTGTAAAATTCTGTGCAAAAACTTGCTTTATTTGAAAAGTTCTTGAGATTTGGTAAAATACCAGAAAATAGAAAGTAACAGTATAAACTTTTGAGCTCTTTCCTAAACAAAGGATACGCCCCCATACTTTGAAGGTCAAAAATTCGAATCCTAGATTTATTTATTTTTTAAAAAAAGAGTGCAAGTTTATTCTGGGATTAGTAGGTTTTTGTGTATAATTTCGTGTAATTTAAAATATTGTCTATAATATTTAAGTTTACCAATAATATTAGCGTTTTTAGGGTAAAACCCTTGAACTATTAAGATGGAATCCTAATGCATAAAAATTCTCAAATTAGGTCTAATATTGCTTAAGAAGTTCACTTTTTTATTTTATTTACTTATTTTTATGCACTATATATGAATTATGCTTTAATATAATTTTCAATAAAAAATTTGCAATTTAGAAGTGTTAATCTTTATTATATGATAGCTTTAAAATAAAAACAAGAAAAACCTAGATTTGTACTGCCAAGGAATATCCTCATGCAGGTAATTAGAAAAAAGGCAGCAGTGATAAGCTGATCAGCTTCATAAAAAATTATGAGCTAAAAAGAAATATGAAATGAAATTTTGTAATGAACTTTTCTGTCATCAGTTGAAAAAATAATTGCTTTTAAAAATTTCTTGCAATTTAAAAGAGGTTTCTGATTTTACTAGTAGAGGTAATTTATTGTACAATTTAGGTCTTAAATACAAAAAGTTTTTATTCAGAATTTCTTTGAGCAAAAAGAAATAGATACACTATTGGATGTTCAGGCAAACAAACTGGTTTTGCTGTTATCAGCTTCACCTCTGTTTCAGTTGAACAGAATTCAATATGGTTTATATGTTTTTATTGCCATAAACATCAATTTGTGACTAAATTAATATAAACATTTTTTTTTTAAGTTCATATTTAACAATCATTCCAAAAGAGAATATTAAGGGCGTTCATTACAGAGCACTTTTATTATATATATATACATACCAACTTAAAAACATGTGCTAACAAAAATAAGCTGTTTTCCAAAGTGCATTCGTAAGTTAAATTACTTTTTATTAAAATAAGTAATTTTTAAAAAAAGAATGATAAAAAGCTTAAGGTCCAAAAAATAAAATTCCTTTTTTTAGTGTATACTGTTGTATAATTTCTCCTCAGTCTCAAGTAAACCAAAATATTTTTTGGACAACACATTAGTGACACAAGAAACATGAACGAAACCTCGTTTGATATCATTACAAAAATTAACATAAAAATGAAACAAAATCACAGTTGGTGATATAATAAAAATTAGCAGATAATCAGCTAAGGGAGCAAAATAAAAAAAATTTTCCACACTAAAACTGTTTTAAGATGTTATCAGCTTCCCATTAGTTGCAGTTAGATTTTGATAGAATGTTTATTTTTTTCTGGCACAAATATCAATATGTGATCCAAAACTAGTATTTGGGCCTGTTTTTTTTTTGTTTTTTTTGTTTTTTTCAATTTAATATTTAACAAAAATTCTAAAAATGAATATTAAGGGCATTCATTATGGAGCACAGAATCTTCTTATGGTCACAAAATCTTCCTTACATAAATGTTATATACTCATATAAATGCTTTTTATTTTGTATCACAATCTTCTAAGACAAAGTTTCATTAAAAGTAAAAATTCTTTTACTTTCAAATTTCACAAATTCATGAAAGTAAAACAGGATAATGTAAATTTAGTTAATATCCCACTTATTATTGATATATTTCTATCTTAGCTTGAACTTACTTTAGACATTTTAAGTGCAAACATAAAATCATAAATAATATGAATAAATATTTTTCAAGCACATTGCATGTTATACATATCACTTTGAAAATATTACAAAACTTAACTAAAATATCACAAATTAACTGACTGGATTTACAAAACTTAACTGACTTGGCTAAAAAACAACACAAATATTAAATATGACTTAATTTTTTTTTCTTCCGATGATGTGAATGACATAACCATTTTATCCAATTAAAACCTCCTGATCATAAATAATTTTAAATAATGAATAAATGTAATTCAATGCAAATCAACAAGATAATTGATGCAAGAATAAGGCACAAAAGTAAAATCAACCTTTTTTAACTTTGTAGTGAGGGAGAAATCGAAATACATAGGAGAAATCAAAATACATAGGAGAAATCGAAATACATAGGAGAAATCGAAATACATAAGAGAAATCGAAGACGAAACCTTTTATATTTATTTTCACTATCACTATATAGTTGCTTCAAATACTGCAAGAATTGAGCACAAATGTGAAAGCACTTCTCTCCTATGTAGCAAATCACGTACAGGAAAATTAAGAAAACCTTTTTTCTTTTTATAATTCAATTGACTTACCAACCATTTATTAATTTGGACTCACCATTTTTTTTTTCTTTTGCACTAAGGCCCTAAATTGAATTTTTTTTTATCTAACTTGAACATTAATTAGCAATTCATAATGTGCATAGGATTTTAAAAATATATATTAAATGCAATCATTACAGAACACCCTATTGCTGAACAGCAAAAGATTTTTTAGATTATATATGGCTTATACTATCTGCTTATAACTTTTGAAATGTATCACTAAGTGACATAAAATATTAAATCTTCAGGGACAAAATAAATATAATGGATGAAATAACTTTGAATAAATGCATCATAAATTTTTATGCAATTGATTAAATATTAAGCCTTCACATTTTTTACATATTATATAGTTTTGCTGCTTAATATATTTTATTTTTAAAAATAAAAGACACAATCACAAAAAATATTTTTCTTCTTTTGCAATAAATTAATTGAATTGATTTACGAATTTACAGTAATAAAACTTTAAAGTACTTATTCCTTTGGAGAATTTTTCAAATTACAAAAGGAAATTAAGCTTGTGCTGGATTGACGATATGTGCAGTTAAATGACACAAAAGCTAGTTATGCGGAGAAAAAAGGTAAGATACAGTAATAGAAATGTCTGAAGTAAAAACAAATATAAAAAAAAGTTTCTAAACATGCATGCAAAGAAAAAAGTAAAAGTCACTAAGGAACTGCTCTACACTAAACTCCTAGATAACAAAAACTGTTTAGGTTGTTTATGAGTATTAGCATATATTAAGATAAGTAGAATTAATAATTATAAAACATTAAAAAAAATAATATAAAAATAGTTAATGCTAATGTAGGCATTTTTCACCCAAAGTTTATAATAACCCTTTTTCTTTGTAAAGTTTACAACTTTATTAAACATCTGCAACAGAAGAGTTTCCATGCAACTTTTACTGTATTCCTTTGAAAAATATTACAAAAACTTCAAAAGAAAATTTATAACTGTAAGCTTTCACACTACATAGACTAAGCTTAATTTGAAAAATATATAACACAAGTAAAAGTTCTATTTAATTGAAGAGCTGAGTAGATGCTGGATAAAGGTTTTAAATGTTGTCGAAATGAACTTGAGTAAACTAGTTTTAAAGTTCATAATATAACAATAGGATATAAATAATGCATCTTTTCTTTATTTGTCTGTTTATAAATCACAAACACTCATTTAAGCTGTTCGAATTCATAGCATTTTAATTTGCTGCCAAGAGTGGTCTTTTAAGGTCATTCGTCAACTGTTCATTGAAAAATACTAGGGGCCTTTTTTCACACCTAAAATACTCAAAGATTGGCACTTAGTATCTTCAAACACTCAGCTTTTAAAAACTTGAAGATTTGATAAAATAAATTAATTTTGTCTAGTTAAATAAGACTAAGCTGAAATTCACCCCCCCACCCCCAAAAAATCTTAATCAATTGACATTACAAAGTTTTAAATTGACAATTAAAAATAGAATTCTTTAAAAAAAAATCATAACATAAGCTGGTCCCAGAGTCAGAATCGTGGCGACACAGCGACATTGTCGCAGAACGATACAGAGTTCTTGCAGAAAAATTTTCCTTTAGAAAGTAAAAACTTTAGGTTTTCCTTTCTGCAAAAATTTTGGAAATTTTTTAGTCCCTAAAATTATATTTAAAAGATGCCTTTTTCGCCCATCGGAGGGGAAAGAAATGTTCAACATTTTTCGATTCTTATTTGAGAAGAATGAAAAATAAAGAATATTGAAGCAAAAAATTTCTTTGCTGCAGAAATACTTGAAATTTTTTTTCCTCCACAATTATATTCAATAGATGCCTTTTTCACACATCAGAGGGGAAGAAATGCTCGTTATTTTTTAAATTCTTATTTGAGAAAAGTAAAATAAGAATTGCTTTTTTTTTTCCTTCACAGATTTTACGATTTTTTTTTAATGTGATGATGATTTACGAAAAGCGAAAAAAGAAATTATTGGGGAGTTTTCCTTTTACAAAATAGGAGAATATCGCCCATGATATCTAAATAAAAAAATATTACACAATCATTTAAAAAAAATACCTGCAATTGTATTATATCCAGATAGACTTTTTTTTTAAAATATGTTTCTGTTACTTTGAATTTAAAAATTTAATGAATAACATGAAGATTGATTATTATTAATAGTGTCTTGCAGAAAGATATTATTGCTAGAGAGGTTTGTCGCAGAAAGCCCCAAAAAATTCTGCCCCAGGGAAGCTGGTATTTATTACTCCTCCATTTCTTCGTTTTCTTCCTCTTCTTCTTTAACATCAATCATATCCAAATCCTTAACTTCAATTTGTGTCTTGGAATTCTTGTTAAAATCTACTTTTTCACCAACAGCGAAAAAGGTCAGGTTGAGGGTAGATGGAGTGCTAATTTTGACATCCCAGTCTTCACCGTAAAGTGATTTTTTTACTTCTTCCCCCAAATCTCCAGTTACAGTATTTTCACTTCCACTTCTTCCATCCACTTGTGAAGGCGACATAAACTGTCCCGAAGCTTGGGCAGAGCTACCAAGTGATGAAGCCTGTCCCAATAACAAACTTTGTAGCTCATTTTGTTTCGAAACAGCTTCTTTCCTGATCATTTTCTTACTGTGCCCTTTGCCTTTCACGTGGGCCTGATAAGGATCTAAACCTGAACATCGCACGTCACATAATTCGCAATACCACGCAAGAGATGAAACAATGCAGCTAGTCTTCTTGGACAGTTCAACATCAGGAGCGTTATCAACAGAATCACTGTTACAATTTTCTTTTGAGTTCTCATTAAACTTGTAAGATGAAGCCAGGACTTTCTTCTTGTGGCCTTTGCTACGCATGTGATCTTGATATGGTATCGGACCAGATAAAGTAACGCCACATGGTTCACAAGATAAGGTGCAGTGAGTTGCCAATGGTACATTTACTGGAATTTCAACAGTAGCTATTAAACCACATTTCCTTTTATGTTCAAAGCTATCAATATGTTGCTGATATGACTCAGGACCAGAAAAATTTTTATCACATTTTTCACATCTCGGTTTCCAAGATGTGATTGCTTCGAAATTATTCTTCTTCAATAAATCTGTTGAGCTTCTCAGGTTAGAAGTCGAGTCACAGTCTTCAACATTAGCATTGGTGTCCTTTTCTCTAAGAATCATAAGAGCATGCTCTTTGCTTCCTGTGTGTTTAATAAACTCAGAAAGAGTTTGAAAATTTATAGCACATGATAGACAGGGAAAAGTATTTGTATCTACATGTTGAATCTCAGAAAATGAAGCAGTAGCAGCGACAGATTCAGTGGACATAGAACTATTATGCAATGACACTTTTCTCTTGTGCTTATCACTGGCCACATGTTGCTGATAGCATTCGATTCCAGTAAAAGATTTGTTACAAATTTCGCAATTCATCTTTTAGCAGATTTCTGAAAAACAAGTTAATAAAAAATATCAGAATGTTACCAAACATTTTAATTTTTAATAAACTTTATTATAACAATAAAAAGGAAATCATGGTAAGTAACTGAAGTTAAAACATTTATAAAGCGTAAATTAAATTTAGAATACAAAGGATAAATTTACGAGATTAGTAAGAGTTTGCATTAAGTTTATATTTCTGCATATCATCTATTATTCTATTTTTAAAAACAATTTTTTATAATATTTTGTTTAAGATGAAAAAAATTTAAGAATTTCAAAAAACCTACAAAATTTGGTGCATTTTTTCGGTAACATGAGTTTTTGTAAATTAGGCACTACATGCTCATGTTATACCAGGATTCGCCAATATAAGCCCAGTCCCAAGAAGCTTTTTCTCTAAGGTGAGTTTTTTCAAAATTTACTATATTAGTTCAAAAGGTTTAATTTCAATAACAAAGCAATAATACATTATTGTCATTTAACCAAAAAGATTTCCCAATAATTAAAGATAATTTAATTTTATATATAAATTGAAATGCATTCAACTTGTTTTGAGAGTATACTGATATGCCTGAAGTATACCTGATATTGTGAAGGGTATTGGGGCTCATAAAATCTTAAGAAAATTTCTACTTAAATGAAACTATTATGTTTTTATTAATCAAATTAAGTGTTTAACTTCAGATCATTAGAACCAATAACAATAAATTTATCAAATTTGGAATTTGATGAATTTATAAAATTGCATCCTCTTAGCAAATGTATAAAATTGCAATTCACAATAGAACACAATAAGAAATGTAGTATCAGTTTCTCTAGAAATTTAAAAAATAATTAAAAAGACAGTTGTATTTAACCTGTAAAAAATCATCGTGTAAAAACTATTTCAAAATAATAATGAAAAATTGAACAAGTTAAAAATTATTAACTTCCGAAAAATTACTTTTTTATTTACTATTTATGCATTAAGTTTACATAGGCCAATGTTGCAATTTTAAAATAATAAATTTACAGTGAAACTTCTCGGGAACGATCAATCTCTGTTCCAAGAATTTTACTTAAGTATCATTTTCTTGATATGTAAATGCTACTTGTGTTGGTGTCATGATAACCTGATCAATGAATAAAATTTAGTAAAAATTATCTTTACTGATATTATTACCTACGTGTAATGGTTTGTTTACACATTAATGAATTATAGAATTATTTTAAATAAATAAACAATTATGTTTTTTTGCAAATGTTCTTATGTATTCAATTTCATATCAAAAAAAGGTTGGCTTAAAATGCTTAGTTTTTTTCTAAATAAATAAACAGTTACTATGTTTTTTGTTTATTTTGTTATGCATTTAATTATATATCATAAGAAGTAGTTAGCTTTAAAAAATTTCTCATTTTTTCAGAGTTTGTTTATTAGAGATGCTTAGGTTTTTCATAAAAAAACTTTTTTTTTCTAATTTAACTTTCAGCTATAAAAATAAATCATTGATGGCATCCAGAGCCGGATTATACCTTTCGTAGGCCCTAGGCACAGCCGTTTTTGGGCCCTCCCCATCTCCCCTCTTTTCAAAATATATGCTAAAATTTTCTTGCATATTTTTTTTTTACATTTTTATTAATATGGATTTTAATTTGAATACGACATTTTGCGTAGTTTGGAATTCGACAGCATAATACAAGATTTCGTTGAATCCAAAAATCGCAAAAAAGTAATATATTAGATCATAAGATTCTGCAAAATAATTTATTACCGAAAAATATTATATTTTTATTTGTATCTTCATAATTTTGTGCAAAATACACTTGTTGTTTTTAAAGCTAAATTACTTTTGTCAAAAAAAATTTTCTCCCAATTTTTTCGCAGGCCCCTGAATTTCGTAGGCCCTAGGCACGTGCCTAGTGTGCCTATAGGGTTAATCCGGCCCTGATGGCATCATATCTAATGCAACACGAGGACGTCTTTAATGAATGCATCATGAGGTTGTGGATCTCCTACAGATATCGTCAAAAAGAGCTCTCTAAATAAGAACCACTCACAAAAATTTTAAATACATTTAAATCTACTTATTTTGTTGATATTTTTTCATGTTTCCTTATTTTACCTTTATCTTATTTAGTGCAGAGGTTTACCCAGGTTTTGATGATCTCTAAAAGGTTTTCTTCAACACAAAGTCTAGGGAAAAAATTCTGTCCCCCACAAAAGTAGTCGTAAATAGATGAGGTAGCTACAAAGAGATTGTCTTTCTTGGATATATAATTGTATTAAGATATATAAAGCAAAGAGATATGTTTATAATAAATAATTAACATTATTTGAAAATCTTATTTTGCTGTAATTTTGTAAATTTTCACATTTTTACTTCATAAAATCGAAAGCAAATTATTAAAAAATTGTTTGCTTCAAATTCTTAGAAGATGGCTTTAGCAAAATAAAAAAATTTAACTTCCAAATCATAAATGATATTTAACCATTGCAGAAGTGAGTTTTATTTTACTATAATTAAAATATCAGTAGCAATAAGTAAAATTATTCAACTAACTGCTAAAATGCAAGTGTTTTCGTTATCTATCTAAACTTTAAAATGAAAACATATAACTAAAAATGTTTTCATGCTTGCAGCGAATAAAATTATAGATAGTTCGTTCTTGGACTAGGCACTTGTGATGTCATATCTGGTTGAACCAGAATTTGTTTCGTTTTTTTACCACTAAATCATTCAGTGTGTCACAGCAAAGCAGGCAGTGACTCAAAGCATCGGGATTCTGTCACATCGATTGAGATACAGATTTGTATGTACAATGTACAGAAATGATTCCTGAAACCTACAGAACACGGAAGTTCAACACTCTGTATCTCAAAATCTATTTTCAACACTCTGTATCTCAAAATCTATTCAATTTTTTGGCATTCGGTCCCATGAGGACTTTGGAATAAAAAGATTTCTATTACAAAATATTAAAATTTCAACCACATCGACAAGGAACCACCGATTCTCATATAAAATGTGTGGAGTCCTATGTTTTGTGAAGTATTACTTTCCTATTAAGTAAAACAAAATTTATTTCATTCATGTGAAATCTACACCTGAAAGTTCTGAAAAATTTAGTCAAGTTCTGAAACACTCAGAAGGTTAGAGATGGTTGGGAGTTTTCCATATAAACTGCAAGCACATAGTAGTCAGGACATCATTTGGGTAACTAACTGAACAATAACCCGTAGCTGCCTAATTTCCATATATTGTCACTAAATAACTTAATCTTTATTTTGTACAGGGTGCATAATCAAATTGTTCAACAAAAACCGAGCACTTTTTAACTACTCAAAAAATATTTGTAACAACTTTTTGTGTTTCCTATTATTGAAAATTCATATATATATGCACAAACAAAAGGCAAAAACTTTACATGATCATAATAAAAGAAAAAAACAACTACTTTCTGACAACGAACTCTTTTCTTGATTATATTAACCACGATAAAAACAATTTATGCAGAATTTTAAATATATTCGATACTGAGTCCTTCATTCTATTTTTTAATTTAATTACTTTATTTGATTATGTTCAAAAGAATAATATTAATTTAAAATAACAATTAGACTATAATTTTAAAAAAGTTATCAGATGTATTTTTTAGATTTAAATAAAAGCTATTTATAAAAGTATATTCAACAAAGCATTAACAATATTAATATTAATGATGATACCAAATTTATAATGACACATAAAGAATGAACCTAACTAAGAAAATGTGAGAAATTCATAAAACTAATGTAAATTAGTAAATTATTAAATTTTCATTAAAATTTGAAATTTGTTCAGCATTTCTTTAATGAAAGGATTAAAGATTTTTTTAAATAATTTTAAAATGTAAATACAATGAGTATTGAAGCTATACATTTTTGTCAGAAGTAAATTATTTATATGGTCTCTACAATCATAATATTGAACAAATCTGAGATTATTGAATTTTTTATTTTTATTTTTTTAAACCATATCAGTCAGGAACAGATGAATTTTTTTTTGAATGTTAAATCTGAATTAATGTAAGATTTTTTACTGTATTTGCTGAATGTTAAAATAGTGAAAAGGCTCTCACATCATACTAAGTATAAAAATTTTTATGCAATTAGTGGATGGTCCTTCAGGAAAAGTCTTACCATCTCAATTAATTCATTACTTAATTAAATTTTAAGTATTAAAGGGAGAGGGAAATTTTAAGGGGATGAAGCTTCGTGACAGTTCATTGCACAGGACCCACATTAAAATATGTAATTAGTGAATGATCTCTAAGTTAAGTTAAAGGATCATGGTACTACTGATCTAATAATAAAGTAGCTGAAGAAAGCAATTGGTTTGCTAGTGAGGAAGAGGATGGCCCTTCACTAGCAATGAAATCAACAATAGAAATAAAATTTCCTTTTGCAATTAGGTAAAAAAATTTGGCAATGGTTAGTTTGTCTTCATGATTAATAAAATTCCAAGAGATTTTTCAATTTGATTTCATAGGACCGGCAAGCAGTTCATCTAGCAAGTAAAATTAACGACAATATGCCGAAAATGAATTGTGGTTGAATGATTTGTGACAATGATAAAAGGAATTATGTGAAAATCACGCTTTTTGCGTAATATGAGGCAAAAATCGATAAAGTAATGAAGGAAAAAAATCTCCGTCTGAAAAAGGAGAAATTAAGCCCCTTTTAAAAATATCCAGTGAAAAGAGCACCTTTAAGGGCTTTTAAAAATGAAAATAAACATCATTAAGTACTTTTAAAAACACTACGCACACTTTTTGTACTTAACAAAATTTTTACCATAAAATGTTAGCGAACAAAAAATATGATTCACAAATATTAAATAAAAATACAATTTTGGTACTCAATAAAATACAAATTAAAAACATAAATCTCAAGTGTCATGACAATTTCATTAAAGAAAAAATTTAAAACATCAGAATGTCCTTTTTTTTAATTTGCTTTTATAATGAGATATTTAAACATAACAAATTTTTTCTGCTTTTCAGACAAACTTTGGCAATCAACTTTTTAGCTTTCAACTGAACTTTCTGACAAAGGATGGGTTTTATATTCCAAGCTTTATCTTAAAACATAGGTTCTTTAGCAAAAGGTACAATAGATGAAGCAGGTACAATCTATAATAAATATCCTAATATAAAATGGGAATATTTTGATCAAATCTTTAAAAATACACATAACATTAAATAATTTTATTTTTAACTGAAAAAATTATTTTCATGTTTATGTCTACATATAGTTTGAAACATAAATCAGATTACTGAAATATGTTTTACTTCATATAATTTGATATAAAATCTTACAATATTAATTGTGTTACAATTTATTAATATAAATTGATAATTTCATATAACAATTTGGTTTGATAGTTGCAAGGAAAATTATTAGGAAATGATAGCATTTATAAAAACTCCACTTAATGGGGTTTTTTTGTTGTTGTTTTTTTCTTCAGATTCACAAAATTTATTTCAACCTGAGTATTTAAAGCAAAATGAGTATCTCTGAATAAATTGCTCATAAGAGAAATGCAAACCATAAACACTCTTTAAAATAACTAAATTCTTAAACACTAAATTCTTTAAAATTATATGTTCTAAAGTGCTTTTGCTCTTGAAAAGGATTGTAAAGTGAATATATATAGATTGAAATGAATGAGATAATGATCCCTATTTAAATAAACAGATTCAAAAATTGCGGCATAAAAACGTATGTAAAACTCTTAAAATTGTAGGGTATTTACATGCATGTTTTTAATCAGTGCAAACGACTTAAGAAAGAGATCAACAAGAATGTAAACTATGTGAGGTTTCGAAACACAAGGGGAAAAAAATCAAAATATTAACAATGGTTTTATTTTATATTTTTTAATATGTAATCGTTTACATATGGAACTCCAATCCCAAACCATAACTAAGTGAAATGAAGGTTTTTGTAGAAAAATTATCTTGTAAGATTTTTTAAAATTATTTATCCGTACAATTTCTGAACTAGTTATCTGGATTTGAAATTAAGAGCAACTTTTTTTAATGAATTTGTAAACATTTTATTTTCTCTGCCCTTTAAAATTTAAATGTTTATAATTGCCTCTTTCACTGTTTTTTTTTTTCCTTTGTTTGCATATTAAAAAAAAAAGTAAAACTTTTGTACTGGTTATAATTTACATAAGATCGTGGTAAATTTTTTTAACAAAAAGATATTGACGTAATTTATTTGAAAAGTCACTGTATTGCGGATAATTTACATAGGATCTCGGTGAATTTTACCAACATTAAGATATTGACGTCATTTGTTTTAAATTAACTAAAAGTATTGAAATTAAAAATGCTGTTATTCATTTAAATAAACAATTTAAAAGCAACAAGTATACATACACCGGTTATCTTGAATAGAATTCCTATAAGTCAAATTTTATATTCATTTGCACACTTCCCAGTAGAAACAACCTTTTCAAATGAAAACGACAACTATAAAAATAAGCAAGAACATCCGTAAACACGCGATGACGTGCATAACGCAAACCGAAACTTTTGGGGGAATTTTCCCATAAAACGACGATAAATATTATTTATGATTTTATATCGATACATTTTTTGGTAAAACACTTTTTTCCAGATGATTAAAGAAAAAAAGAAAAAGTAGAAACTAATGAAGTGTTGATTAATTTCCTTCTGACTAAAATGGAAGAAAAAATTTTTGTTTCAAATAAAAGAAATAATAATTAAATTTTAATAATAATGTAGTTTTGATTGTAACCGTTAATATTAAGCGGTTCTTTCGAAAGCTCTTTGGATAATCTGTAATGTTTATATTTGTTTTTATAAGGTCAAATATCAAATCTAAAATATCAAGATAGCGTTATTTGTAGCATTATTTTGCTCTTTTGAGCTACCAATTAATGATAATTAATTCATTCAAACGGGACACTTCGAAATTCAATTTATTCTTCGGAATAAAAGGTTGTAAGTAGATATTTTAAACAGATAAGTAGTTAGATAACACAAATTAGCTGTACCTATAGTTGTTAAAAAAAGTTACCTAAAATTTAGTTATATATATATATATATCTATATGTATAGCTCAATAAGGACAAAAAGAAAAACACATTATTTGTATATATTTATTATAATATATTAGACTTGGCCATTGTTGCCAAGACTTGGAATCAAGGAAGCCAAGCATAATAAATAAGCATTAGAAAAAGTGAAATAAAAGAAAAATCAAGTGACATATTATCTTACTAAGCAAAGGCAATAAGTATTTTATTGTTTTGGGTTAAAAACAGTTTAAATAAAAGTTTTAAGTTTCAGTAATTATTTTAAACAGGTCAAAGAAGTCACTTATTAATTCTTCACCAGTGTACTTTTTAATATTACACCTTTTCTAGAAGTGGCTAGTTGTTGTTTTTCAAGTAAAAATTCTATTCATTATGGGATTTTTATTGTTTCTTCTAAACAATTTCACATTAAATAAAAAAAATTTGACAGTATGAAGTTTGTTTTTTTTTGTCAATTATATGTGTTTATACAAAATAATGTAATGATTTAACATGAAAAAATTACTGGAATGAAAATTAGTGAGGATTGAATTTAATCATACATTGTTTTACTTGTATAAGAGTTTCAAGTTTCGAAAATTATACATTAGTTAGAAGAATGAGGTATGCGTGCCTCTATTAATATTTTTTAAAGACCTCTTTTAGTTTATCAGACAAATTAGAAGAATTTTCATTGATTTAAATTCAATTAAAAATAAAATAAGCTTCTTTTATTTTAAATTAATTGCAGAAAGTTCTCTTTCATATGTTAAATATTGATAAATGTAAGGTAGTAATTTTCAATTTTCTGCTTATTTGTGAAACTTCAAGTAGGTAATAACTGTTGCAACTAATCTCTTTCAGATGCATCCAGAACCAGAAGTATGCTCTATGAAAGTTTTATTAAAGCAAGTTTATGGTATCCATACATCTAAAATAAAATGTAAGTGTAATTTTTATTAAAATTTTGTACTTGTTGATATTTTACTTAAATAGTTTTTTTTTAAATAATTTTTTAGATAGTTTATTTACTTCTTGCAAATTTGGGAAAAAGTAATATAAGAAAGGGAAACTAAAATCCATCTCTAATTTTAGGTCAATTTAACAAAACTTGTTGTTTGATTAGTCTTACTCTGCTGTCAAATCTTACTGCAATTTTCATAGATTATGTTATTTCATTATGCTGATAAAATTTATACATTTAGCAATTTTCATCAAAAAGTGGTGTATTTATGCTACTAAATAATTTGTGTCATTGTTTAACCAGAATTTTTTTTTTCCCTTTATGATCTCATAGGAGGGCAAAATTAAAATTTGTCTCAGACGTTGCTTATAAAGAGGTTAAATAAAAAACAATTTCAGAAAAACAAAAGTTTTGATTTTAAATTTTATGAAATTTTAATTTAATTTTAAAAAAAAGAATTACTTTTCAAATTTATTAAGCATGTTATATACTTTATGAAATGCCATTAGAAACGGAACAAAATTTAGTTCAAATTCTCAAATTTCAGCTGTTTAAAAATTATAATGCTGTAAAAATTTTGTTAATTTTCAAAATTTCGAAAATATTTATTCTGAAACGACGCAAACACTCTGAAACAGGGTATTTTTCATGTTCAAAACATGTTTAACAAACATGCTAAAAGTGATTTAATTGAAATGTTGACCTAAATTTTTTTTTTATCATTGATTGAATCAATATGGAATTACTTAATACATTACTATTTATACAGATTTAATTTCCAATTTTGTTTGAATGTAACTTAAACTTATCAATTTTGCTCATTGTAACTCTATCCACAAACCTCTTTTTTTTTAAATATTTTTTTGTTTTTAATTAGAAAATTATAGATTATTAGTTGCTATTTTATATTATTTAAGCTAAGTATTTTTTGCCGAAAAGATTTAGCAGAAATGTGAAAAGATATTTTTTATTATAACTTTAGAATTTTAAAATTGCTTTTTTATGTTTATTTGTTTAATTGCTGATGAATTGTTCCTTTACCATAACTGCAAAAATGAAACAAATGATTGTTGTCCAATGATCTTTAAGAGATGAATAAAAGTGCTGTTTCACTTAAGTTGCTGATTTATTTAAAGGTCTTGAAGATGAAATTGAAGAGCTAAAGAGAAATTTACAAGAAGCTACAACGTGAGTATTATGCTTAATGTAAATGTTGAGTGAAATTTGCTGAAATGTTTTAATTTTAAAACTAATTCCGCTGACAGTTAATCTCAATTTAACACACCAATTACACTGGAAAAGTTATTTTAATTTTCTAACAATTTAGTAACTAACATAAAATGATGTCTCAAATTTAAAGTTTGAATAAACTATTTAAATCATTTAAAATAAATTATTTTAATCTTTTCTAAGTAATTTAATAAGGAGATGAAAAAACATTTGCTTTATTATTAATTTATTAAAATCAGGGTTCGAAATTTATTTTTATTCTATATTAAGTAAACTACTAACTGATGGTCGGGAAATAAAAAGACATAGCTCAAAAAAAGTTATTCACTTGAATAAAAGTTTATTACTATGTATTAAATTTAAAATTAATTGTTAGAAGAACTTAAAGTTCAGATATGTATTATGCTCCCACCAATCAAGAATTTCTTCTTCAAAAATGAAAAAAAAGAAGAGTGAAAAGAAATAAGTGTTAAATTTAAATTTTCTTTCTTTTACAGGAAATTAAAGAATTATGAATCTGAGTGTAAACGATGTATTGAGCTTGAAGAAGCCTTCAGTAGTTGCAAAGCTGCTTTATTTGAACAGTCAAAAATGTTTGAAAATCTTGGTGAGATATTTGGTTATGTTTAATGAATTAGTTGTATCAAAAACTTGCTCACATTTAATAAAATATCGTAAATATTTCTAATTTTTATATAGGGCAAAAGTTGTCTAACTTCAACACAACAGAAAATAAAACATCAGAGTAAGTTTTTTTTTTTTTGTTCAGTGCAGAACCTCTTATCCGGAAATCAGAAAACCCGATAACAGGGATGAAATTCGGAACTGGAAATTAATTTTCTTCCATTAAAAAAAAAATTTTTTTCCTGCAAGATTTTAAGCCCATTTTGTTATTTAGAGCGTACGGCGTATCGAGTTGACGAAAGAACTGATTTAGAGGACGGATCAAAAGCCGTTTGTAGACGAATCTCACATAAGCACAAATAGCTTACATATGTTATTAATGTTAATAATAACATTAATAACATATATAAGCCTGTATATAATTTTTATTTCATAATTTCTTTCCTTATTTAAACTTAAGTGTATTATTATTTATCATTTTTTATTATTTCTAAAACTATTTCAAAATAATTTTTTAGTTTCATTTTATAAACATTAAAAAAACGGCATTTTGTAGCGATTCAGAAAACCAGAAAAATCAGTTATCCGGAATTGCGATGGTCCCGATCGTTACGGATAATCGGTTCTCTACTGTACTGGGTGTTAAAAGAAAAGATTGTTTTTAAAAATTTATTTATTTCCATTTAGAGTAATTTAAAGATAGTCTGATGTTCTATTCTTCAGATAGGTGTACTTTTTTTTCATTAAATATAACATTGTTTTTCAAGAAAAAATGCTCTGTGCACCACAAGAGGGATAAATAAAAAACAAAATTTTAACTTTATTCAGTAGTATCCCGGTAAAACTGCAAGTATTGAGCATTTCATTATAGTAATCTTTTTTAGAAAGACAAAAGTTCCAACAATTATTTTTTATGTAATAATCAAACTTAAAGTATCAAAATCTATTGGAGCTAAAAAACCTCTTTTTTATTAAAATTTTCATTATTATGATCTCCCTGAAATATCTTGTTCCTCATACTAGATAAGGTTTTAGTCAATCAAAACAATGTGTATTTAATAAAAATTGTATTGCTACTTTAACATTTTTATTATATCCCTTAGTATTTAAATTTATATCTAGTGAATAAAATTTTTTAAATTAGTATGTGCAGTTGAAAAAGCTCTTTATAAAGGTATCTATTTGTCTTAAAGATTTTGTTCCGAATATGTTTATTTAGTAAGGAAAAAAATTTTTGTAAAAAATGGAAAACTTAAAATAAAGTTTACTCAATTTTCCCAAAAAAGTTTTTACGAAACAAAAATTATTGAAGTGTAATAAGCTGAATGTTATTAGCTTCATTTTTTAGTGTACAATTCAAAAATAAATTATTATTAAAATTTAATTGAAATGTAAGAGTTATATTTTAAATTTTCTGAAACTTTTAAATTTTATAATAAAATTATTGTATGACTTTTTTTTTAATGTTTACAAAAAATGTTTTAAATGAGTGAAAAAGTTTTATTTAACTTCATCTATTGAAATTTAATTAAAAAAAACTATTAGGTCAGTTTCTTACTTTTTTCTTCCTTTTTTTGTGCCATTGCATATAAATCAAAATATTTGTGTTGAACAATAATTTCTACCTCACACATTCCAGTGCATCTTGCTGAATAATTGATAATAGTTGATTTAATTGTTGGAATGGTGATTGAAAAACATTTACCATTATTTTCTAATGCAAAAAAACAAAATTCCTACCCTGTCTTAAAAAAAAAAAAAAAAATGAGTGCATAAGGAAGAAACAGCAATAAAAATGTTGCTGCTGTTATTATCTTCGTCAAAAACTTATCCTACTATTAGGTCATTTACTTTTGTAAAACCTCTTGTTCTGATGCATCATACTGAATAGTTGCTCTGTTAATAGTTGGCTTATTCTTAATTGTAAAAATGGTAATTTAGAACCTTGTATTATTCATTTCTTATCCAATAGAGAGCAATTTATGTTTTTTTCTCTATAGTTGCATAGGTAACAAGCAACAATAAAAGTACTTTTTTTTCAATTACTGTACATCACACATTTTAATGTATCATATCTCCTTTAACAGCAAGCATAGGATTCCAGTAATGAAGGACTTCTGTATTTAAAACTATTTATTGCTATTTAAAATGTATTTACTTTAAAATTTTAAGTTTGTTGCTTTTAAATATTATGTTACTTTTCTGAGATTTATTTACTTCTATTTATAGTTACTTATAGCTAGTTTACAGATAGTTTTTATTGTTACTTTTTTTAAGTTTTTTTTTTTTTTTTTTTTTGTAGGGAAAAAAAGTTGACAATTTTACAAGAAATTGTTGATGGTCCAACTGTTGACCCCAGCATAAATGTAGCTCCTGTTAAAAAAATAGACTTGTCAACAAACTCAAAAATACATTTTCTGAAAAATTTAATGACTATGAATGCTGACGAAAACCAAGATTCCCTGGAGTTCACTGAGCCTCTTCAGAAAAATGTGTATCAAGAGTATTCTACTTTGAATCCTGATTCTTTGATTTTAGTGCCGAACACAATGGATTTCGGTTGTGAAGACAAGGAAAGTCAGAAAAAACTTGGTGATAAAACGCATGAGTGTATAAGCACTGGTAAAAAAGAACTTCTTGAAACAAATATGCCAGATACTGATAAAAATTCTGAAAATAAGGAAAGAAGAAAAAGATTGAGTGAGGATGATTCAGATTTAAATAACGATAAATCAAACAAGGAAAATGATGTGAAAAGCTCATTTGGAAATAAAAAATTGAAGTCATCTAGAAATGATGATTGCACACCTGTCATGAAGCTAGCAAATGTAACTACCAGTCCCAAGCAAAAAAACTTGAAAAATGGTGCTGATATTTTCAATAACAGTAAAAAAATCAATACCCCTGTTTTAGATATTAAAATTTGTAAAGTGGTTGAAGATGATTTTGTAGACGAACCAAAAAATGCTACTGACGGGAACTGTTCTTCTGTAAGTGACAATACTAAAGATGATTCTTTTAAGGTAACAGTTTCTCCATCATTGTTACCACTTAAAGAAAAAATAAATGCTAAAATAATTCATTATAATCCAAAAATGAATAAAAACAGTTCTTCTATAAGTGCCATTCCTAAAGAGGATTCTTTTCAAGCAACAGTTGCTTCCTCTTTGCAACCAATAAAAGAAAAAACAAATTCAAAAATAATTAATAATCATCCGACAATGGCAGAAGATATAAATGATTTTCAAATTCTCTCTTCAAACAGGAAAGCAAACAGCGAAGGAGGAACCTGGACATCATGTGATAAAAAAAAGCTTGCCAGAAAATCTTCCTACCCCCGCCCGATTAAGTCAACATCTAGGTTTAAAATGCAGCTAGACACCCTTCCTCCTAATTTCAAAAAACCTACCTATCGCCAAACAAAACTATCCAGAAGCATTTTTCAACCAAAATCGACTACTGGTGAAAATCAAGAATCTGACATCGTATGTGTAGAAGTAGATGAAAAGGTTAAAGATTTTGCCAAAGACTCACTAACTGTTTCTCGAGGTGTTCCGGCTCCGAGCAGTTCCAGTAAAACTGTTGATTTTGATGCTACTTGCATACCAGACAATTATGAGTATGAAATCATATCATCGAATAGTATATCTTCAACTAAGCCAAAAGGTGGCAAAGCATTTCCAAATAGTATAATGATTGTAAAAGATGACTCGGATAGTTTTGATTCTGATAGCTCTTCTGAGATGATTATAGAGCAAAAATCTTCTACTTCAAAGCACGGTAAAGGTAAAACTTTTTTTATAGGCGTTTTCAGTTAGTTTATATTGTCAGGAAATACTGCAGATTGAATTTACTATAATTTATCGAAACCACCTTAAAATCAAAACTCTTATCTGTTAAAATTAATCCGTTGTTCCATACAAATAAGAAATCGGTAAAAAGATAGTCTTTCCTTTTTACCTTCCCAAAAATGTTCCTTTTTTAAAAATTTCTATTAAATAGAAAAAGAAAAAAATTAATGCACTGCTAATGGATAACTTTCAATTAGAAATGTTACAGAATTTATGGTTTTCAAATTTTAAAAATATTTCGAAATAAAGGTACTTAGCATTATACATAACTTCTTATTAACTTTTTGAAACTTAAACTATTGTTGACTGTTTTATATGATTATTTAATTACATTTAAAAAACGGTTTTTTGGATGAATTTATACTTTTTCACTAAAATTTAAATTACTTTCAAATTAACAGAAATTAGAATTATAGTAAATATCCTAGATTGATCCTTGTATTTTTTCAATTACATTATTTAGTTATGCTTAAATTGGAAAGTAAAAGACTTAGAATGTTTTAATTTCCTTACTTGAAATTATTTTGTTAGATTTGCCTCACATTTTAATGAGTCATGGGTATTTGTTCAAATTAAAATAATAATAATAAACTAATTAAAGAAAACCATGTGACAATTGGATTGCTTGAACTGACTATAAATATGTTGTTTTTTTATGTTTGATTGTTTTTATTTATAAGTTTTGCTATAACCAAACTGTTACAAACTATTTATCGAATCTAAGTCAAGATCAAAATATTGTGATGATGAAAACTGTATTGAAATAATGGTAGACCTTCATTATTTCCAGGAATAATAATTTAAATTAAGCTATAAAGCTTGGTGATGATTTTTGTCTTTTCTGTTAAGTTTCTAACTGTAAATGATCTGGTTTTAAGCCAAATCCTCATATAATCCGTTTAAAGTATCATAAATACAAAGCTCTATCAAATTTTTATGTATCAGTCTCACATTTTTTAAACTAAAGTAAGAGTTCAAAATAAAGTAAAAAAATTTTATGCATAGCATACTAATCATAGAAAAGAATTAATACTCCATCTACAGCCATCATGGGTCTAAGGGATCATTTAGATTAAGGTTCCACAATCTTGTGCCTAACAGTATATCATTGGTAATTTGATCACTATTGTGCATAATGCTGTCTTTAGCTCCCAGACAAGTTGGTACCCATTGCTCTGTCTGCTACTGAAGATTGAACCTCAGTCCTTCACAAAGGCAGCTCAGTGTCTTAACCAGTGAATCACTGTGACTCATAACATAATCGTTACTTGATAACATTTTGATTTATAATTTCTGTCAATATTAAATAAAGTTTATTTTTATACAATTCTTTTTGTACATTTTATGTTTGTTAGTTATTTTTTTGATTATTTATCGCTAATCTTTTTACAACAATGGCAAAAAAAAAACATTATTTGTGTTTTGTTACATATTACTTATAATTCTTTATTTTTAGGTAAAGATGACTTAAATAGCAAACATATTGAGGTTGGCCCCCTTGGAAATAGTTTTGACAGGTAATAACAAGATATCAGAAACAGAGAATACAACGTAAAAGATTTATTTAAGCTTCATTAAACTCATTTAATTATTTAAGTTCAATACAAAATTAGGTAAAATAAAAATCTATTCGGAAAATGTTGACTGTATGCAGTAAACATTCAACTGTATACTTTAAGACTTGGTCTAAGAGAATGTGTAGTAAGTATTATTTCAAAAGAGGCATCTCTACAACTTTTTGCAAAATTTTTGGTGTTAGAATAATTTTTTAGAACTCCACCTAATTGTGTAAGTAGTTCATTAAAATCAAAAAAAGAAAGAAGGAAAGATAGTTTTTTCTATTTTTTGAAATTAAGAAAAAAAAGTTATTTATTAAGTTATTCTAGTTTGTATGAGTTATGTACATTTCCTTCTTATAGTGAAATTTCTGGTCATGAGAGTGTTTGGTTAAATTTATGTACCAATAAAATACTACTTTCTTAGTTATTTTTTAATCTTAAAATAACTAAGTAAATATTCTGCTATATTTAAACTTGAGTTGCATACAAGACGTAGTATTTTTTATAATTTCTTTAATCTTGGAAAATTTCCTACCAAATTTATATACTACCTATTTGAATATTTTCTTTAACCACTTAATAACCCCATAATTTAAAAGGGGAGAAATACCCTACTTAATGTAAGTTTGAACTCCACATTAGACACTATACTGATTTTTTTTAATACTTTTTTTTGTGTTATTTTCTATTGAATTCATAGATACCATTACAATATTTTGACAATTAGTTTTAAACAATTTGTAATGGCTCTATTGTCAAAAATTTATACACTTTCAACTCTCATTAAAATTTTAGACATGTGCCACTATGCTCATTTTTAAAAAATTTTTTTTTTTTAATGATTTGGGGAAATTGTTTGTCAAATTTAAAATTTCAATGTTCTTAAACGTTTCCTAAATTTATTAATTCCAAATAATATATTTTATTTGATTTACAATTTACGTTTGATTTATTTAATATCGTGAAATTTCTTGTCATATTACCATAATACTTTCTAAGTGTTTTTTAATTGATTATAGTTTAAAAGACTTCATAACTATTGTTTTTCAAATTTGAATTGCATAAAACTTATATTTATTGCTTTTTTTTAGTATTTTTTTATTTTATAAGGCTTATTTTTGTTTTACTATCCCTTATCTATTTTTTTAGTACTAATGATGAAAAAAAAAGTTCTTTTTTTAGTATCTACACTACATCATTGTATGTGTTATTTATGCTTTTTTAATATATTTTTATGTCTTATATGCTTTTCTATTATGTGGCACGAAGATTGCTTTTCCACCAAATTTAAATGAACAGAAGTATAAACTGCAACTATAGAATGTTTTTTTTCGTATAAAAAAGTAATGCTTTTTTTTAAAAAACATTTTTCTTATAAGTAATGTAATAAAATACAAGATTTCATTGCCTTGATAAAAAGATGTGTTAAAATTCTCATCCTGTATTTCAGTGGCGTACACAGAATTTTTTCAAGGGGGGTATTCATAATTTTCTGAAACCACTAAAAGAAATTCGAGTCTGTAATAAAGCACTATTATTTCCCTAATTTAGACAGCTAAACAATTTAGACAACATTGTTTGGTTAAATTTTGATTTAATTTTTTAAGTTTAAGAACGTAATGTAATATCTTCTGAAAAAAGTCCAATGTCATATGGGTGGGAAGTAACACTTTGAGGGCCACTTTCACATTCATCAGATTTTGTTATGCTAGAAACGTTTTCTTCAACGAAAGTATCACATTTCTGTACAACAGAAAAACTTACATTGATACTAGATGCTGTCACCTCACTAATTTCAGGTCGTGATTTTTTCTCAAAATAATTAAAAATTGTTAAATTCTTACGTTTTGACATCCTAAAGATCCAAGAACAGTAAATATATATATTGGCACAGAAATAAATGCTATGCTCAGGGCCGGCGCGTACGCGGGGACCTAGGCCATTCAAATTTTTGGGGCCCTTCGATTAAGTTGTTTTTCTCGTATATTTTTTATTTATTCAAATATAAAAGTATTTATATATCTTTTCATTTCAGAAAGCATGTTTAAAATTAAAATAAATAATAATAAATTGAATTTTACTTTATTTTGTTAAATTAGAACTAAATTTTAATCATAACATTTTGAAAAAATTTTAATATATATTTAAAATTGATTTTTTTAAAAACAATCATTGTTTTTCTTAATTTTTTAAAATTTATTTTCAAAAAAATCCATTTTAAGGGGGCCCCTAATTATTTGATATTACATCATCCACTGTACTCCGTTCCCCCTTTTATATAATTTTTCACCGCATCTCCAAAATTCTCGAATTGTCTCAAAGACGACAGCACGTCTAGGATTACAGAATCATCGCGTAAAGATCCCGCGAATGACAGCCAGTCTCAAAAACAATACTGGCAGGACAGAAAGGAACCAGTCCGTAACAGTATCACGTGAATTTGGTTTCAAAAGTACAACCCTATTATAGTAAATGTTTTTTCAGTATTCTGAGAAATACCGTGAGAAAAAAAAAGTAGGGATAAGGCAGATAAAAATATATTGTCTTAAAAAATAATAGCTCACATTATTTCTAATAAAATTTCTATTTTTGCCATTTTGTCTGAGCTCAAGGGGGGTGTTTAAACCACTAAACCCCTCCCTTGCGTACGCCACTGCTGTATTTTAATTTTATATTTTTAATAAATTTTTCAGGTTGCCCAAAAAGCCTGAACCTGATTATAAGTATAAAGAAGAAACAGTTAGAAAAAAATCTGAGAGAAAACAGCTACTTGGCTTTGATTGCAAAGAGTGTGAAAATGTAAGAATATTCTTTTCTTAAAAATGTTTTGTAATTTTATTTTTACTTACATAATGTCAAAATTTTATTTTATAGTTTTTTTCTTCTAATAAATTTTTTCCAAAGTTTAACTTTTTATATAAAAACTAAACTGTGCTTCCTTAATTTTTAGAATTTTTTTTAAAATTTTAATAACTAAAAACGAATCTCAGTAGTTCAGGAGTAGTTAAATCTTTGAAATGTGCGTTCACATTTTTCAGAAACTAAATCCATCTGGTTTAGGAATCGTATTTAAGGAAAGCAAATTCAAGTTAAGGAATTTTATTTGAGGCAAAACTTCTTTTTACTTTATTATGTTTAAGTTTTGCCTTTATCATAGAATTTTTATAAAAACCCATTCATGGAAGGAAAATATTTTTTTGATATTTTTTACTGACTGATATTTTTAATGTCTGTATAAAATTTGTATGTAAATTTGTAATTCAAAACTATAAACTTGTTCTTTCAACAATAAAAAATTTTGAGTTTTATAACAGGTTTTTACATATTTTTTAATTATATTTTTGAAACCTATTTTGCTTTTAAACAGGCTAAAATAGGTATTTTTAAACTTTTGATCTTTGAAATATTCTTAAATGCATTTATAAAACTATCTAAATGCTATATCATCGTAATTTATCATCGTAATTTTTTCTGAAACATTTTTATTTAGTTATTTTATTTTATTTTTAAATTTATCAAAAGAACATAATTTGAAAATTATTTACTATTAGAAGTCTAAAAATTTTGGTTGTCATAGTACCAGAAAAATCATAGCTAGCATCTAATACTTTGTAAATTTAAACTTAATTTTTCTCTTCCTGAAATACGATAATTTTGAAAATCTGAATAGAAATCTATTTTTTAAGATTACTTCTCTTCTAAAAATAAAAGGCATATATAAATACATTACAAATATAAAATTTCATTTTAGCTTGTAGAATAGTATACCATATTTCTGACAACTTTGTTTATTTTAGATATTATTAAATTAGTAATTATAAGTATCTTTTTGTAATGCTATAAAATTTAAATGCTCACTTGCTACTTAATATTTGTTCCATAGAAGCCATTTCATGTTTGCTCCTATAAAATTAGAACTTTTGTAGACCCCTATTTAAATTATTATTATTTTCTTATTTTATCAGACTTGAGGTTTTATATATATATAACTATATTGAACTTTCTTACTATATCTGTAGAAAGATTTGTTTGAAATATATTTTGTTAGAAATATTGAAAATTAATTACTTTTCCAGTACTACACAGATTTAGGTCTCTCAGATGAAGAAAAGAAACAAAGAATGCAGAAATGTTCTCGTCACAGGGGAAAATTTGTTCCCCCATCTACTCCAGAACATTTTTGGGAGCTGGAATTTCCTGACACACAGGAATGTAAGGCAAGAGGTAAATAAATATTTAATTTGATATTTATTTTTACAATTTGCATTAATTATTGAAAAGTGTATTTGGTCATAAATTTCTTATACAGTTGCGTTTTATTATTATTTTTAAATAATAAGATTTGTAACAAAACCTAAATTCTTACTTCATTCTTTCTAGTTAGATTTAATTAAGATAAATTTTGCATGAAATAACCACTTCATTTTTTTTTTTTAAAGAAAAACATTTTAAAAACATACTGAATAAGTGTTATCAGGATCAGTAGACTAGAAATTATAATTTATTATCATATTCAATATTAACTTAAGTCATGTGATAAATATAACTTGCTATTGTGCTATATGGTATTAAAAACCATTGACAAACAATGATTGCCATTTTACTGGTGGAATGTATTAAATATACTACTATGTATCTAGTTACATACATAACTTTATTACACAGAGTTATATGCTAATAGAACTTTAGCATATTCTAAATAATGTAGTTCATTATATTAAATAATTTATAAATTTTCTTTTTTATTTATTGAGTATGAAATTGTGGTATAAATTATTATTGGAATATGACCCATTCATTACTTATTTTAATGCTTTAAAGAAATAATTTTGGTTCCCACGCTTTTACACTAAAATCTAAAGGGTGTGGATTTTTGACAAGGGGACATAATAAGAAAATTTTCAATTTTGTTGTCTTTTTTTAAATGTTATATTTTTGTTAGAAATAGTTTTTTTTTTTTTCTTTTCTTTAAATTAGCATAAAAGGATATTGAAATTGTTCTGGCAGGGATATTAAATTCTGCGTCTTGTAAAAAAATATATTTGAATCACTGGCTTAGAGAGTAGTTCCAAATTACAAATTTCAAGTTTTATTGAATATTTGCAAGTGTTTAATATTAAGATTTATATTAAAAAAAGATTGATATTTTTTATTTTATTTTTTTAGCAAATCAATTTACATTATGAGTTTCATACAGAACTGTGTTACTCCAAGAAAAAAAGCTTTTTTTTGTTTAAAATTTTTCTTAAATAATTTTAGTTGTTATAGTTAAAATTTTGAAAAAATCCTCATTTTCAAGTATATAAATATTTATTTTTTTATGCTTTAAATTAGGTATTATAGCTGCTATATTTTCAATTGAGAGATAATTTTTATTCATGATATCTCTTAAAAATACAAAGAAAAGAAAGAGAAATTTGAAAAATATATTATTTTGAATTAGCATCAAAGAAATTAGTTATTTCTCCTCTTATTTTATCTTCAAGTTGTACTTATTTTTACTGATGTCCTTGAGCTTTGTATGTGTTTTATCATAGAAGGGTTTTTTGTTTTCTTTTCTTCTGTTGAACTTCATTAAGGCTTTGGAATTTTATTTTATAATTCCAATTCTAATTAAATAATTATTTGTCTATTAAATTCTATCGTATTTAACAATTATTGCAACTTTATCAAGTTCGATATTAACCGTGGTCAATAACTACTGTAATTTACAAGATTAGTTAACTATTATGTTCTAGATAATTAACGTATAATCAAGATAATTAACGTTCGATTATAAGAAATGCAGTTTTCTTCATTTGCACCCAAGTTTCACACTTAATTTTCTTCCTTATGGAACTAAATATTCATTAATAGATAATTGTCTTATTTTCTGTCTTTTAAGGCTATTTAAATACAACTCAAAAAGTAACACTGAAGACTCATCGTAGGAGACCCTTGTAGATAGTCGACTCCTATCAGAGACTTAGATTACTGTATCAGTAATTGTAATTTATTTTGTACAAATGTTTTGTAATGTATTCCTAGTTATGTTTAAATCATGTGATGATTTATTTGTTTCATAAATATTGGCATTTAATGTTCTCATAGAATAGAATTAACATGATGCAAATCATTTTTCGTATTTATTTATCACAATTATATGTGAAAAGTTATTACAAGATTGTAGAATTTTTACAAGATTTTATAAGAAAAGTTTTTTTTTTTTTTTTTTTTTTTTTTTTTTTTTTTTTTTTTTTNTTCTTAATTGTTAGAATAAAAATTTTTTTAATTTTTTTTTTTTTTTTTGCATTTATTTAATTTTTACTTCATAATTATCAAAACTGTGATGTTATGGAATAGTTATAGTGATAAGTAAGTGTTAGGTAACATTTCTAAAAGGTATTTTTAAATACAGTAAAATATGTTTAATTTGTATTTGTTTATTTTCATATACGTTGTTGTTTTCTTAGTATATTATTTGTTACTACTGCATTGTAATTCATTAAACCTGTATATTAATGTATAAATACTGTTAGTGTGTACTGAACAGAAATATGTAGTTACATCCTCTGACCAAATTATGTTTTCTAATAATAGGATCATTTAAAAATTGTCATATTAACTGTAGTAATTTTTGACTGACAGAAAATAAATTTTTGAAAAATGTTTCTACTTTTTAAGTCTTATAGTTATGTTTTTAAAAAGTGTAATTTTTTCTGAAAACTACAAAAACTACTATATGCATTTTTTCAATTAGAATGTAATAGAAATAAAAAAAAATATATTTACTATGATTTGCCTAGGCTGTATTGAATGTTTGTTTATATGAATTCTCACTTAGTATATAAAAATGTCAGCCTTTTATTACATTATATTTTGAAAAATTCAATTGAAATACTTTAGGGTATACAAAGTTTAATTGTTAAAGCCTTTATTTATGTTAAGTATTTATTTTTAAGCAGTTTTGAGAAACTTTTTGAAAATTCAATTATGTTTAACATCATGAAAAAGTTTTACTCCCAAAAAACTTGTTTTGGGCATAAAATTATATTAACACCAGTGACACCTATAACTTGCTACCAAGTATAACGAAAATTTAATAAAATATTATAAGCTTAAAACTATGTTGTTGCTGACTTTTTTTAAAATTTAAAATTCAGTTTTTCAATTCTAATATCAGGAACTGAAAAACTTGTTTATTTAACGTACATGTTAAACAAATTAGTTACAGGAGTTGTACCTTCAAGGTTTTATTTTATAGTTCATACATTTTTCATCAAAAATCGATTTTAAATAGTTCTCGTATAACAAGCGAATTTTTTTAAAACAAGACCATGACATCTTATTTATTTGATACACATGTTAAAGTAACCAGTGGATTATTAAACTAGCAGTGTAGATGTAATATTTTTTCTAATAAGAACTGCAACTTCAAATATTTAAGGTAGGAAACAAGTTTTGTATTTTAGCGTAATTAAAATGTATGCTAGTTGAAGTACACAAAGTGTTTTTTAAATTTGAAATGTAAGAAAAAATTGGGTTTGTAGTTGTTCTGGTGCAAAAAAATTTGTCCTTAATTGTTCTGATTTTTGTCCTGATTGTGTATGTTCAGAACATTCTCTTTCCTATGAATGCAAATTTTAAAATTATCGATTTGAAGAATTGATAGATTTGGATTTTTGATCTAACTTCTTTTTATTTTAATTTATATTGAAAGTAAAAATCGCAAAATTCGATCATAGGGGCCGATAATATATATGGTCCAGTCATATATCCTTATTTACAAGATTTATTGTTTCCAACTTTTTGGAAATTTAGGCACTTTATGAAGAAAAAAAAAACTTAAATTAAAAATTCTATGTTTTCTAAATTTTAACGGTGATGAATTAAGGGATCATATCCTTATAATTTTTTGTAAATGAAGAATTCAATCTTGTAGGATGGAGTTATGTTGTTTCACAATTATTTACATGTGTCTTTTATCTTTGATCAATTTCAACAATACAATAATCATATCATAGAATTGTAGATGGAGAATTCAGAGATCCAACACTGAAATTATTTTACAAAAATGTCAAGAGGCAAATGCACTATTTATATTTTCAGATTATTGAAGCACTTCTTTATAATTATAACGAAAAGAAATCTTGAACTCTTTTTCAATTGAGACTGATTATTTTTAAAAAGAGTACTTATATTTTTTCCATGTTTCAATTTGAAAAAGCATAAATTCTTAAAACTTTCTCATCTTAAAGTAATTTGAATGTTGAAAATAGTATATTTTATTATTCTTTTACAGTAAAATGAGCTATTATTACATTTAAATAGATTCAATTCTATTTTTCAGTTTGCCAGTTACAGTTTTTAAATGTAGTATGATGTATGTATATTGTTTTAAAAAGTGTCCATTTTTAAAAAAAATTTGACCTGATTTTTTTCTTTGTTGCACTATGATGCATCAAAATATAAACATTTTTAGCAACTTAATATAAATATTTTACATATTTTCTATAGTTGAACACTGTTTAGATTGTATTTAAAATAATATACTTTTAAATTGTTTTTTTTTAAATTAGAAATTGATGTTTCCTCTTGACATTTATCAATTTTTTTTAATGCTTAGAACTGCTTTCTCATAAAAAAAATTTCCTATTTAACCAAAATTTTCAATTTTAAAAAATAAAATCATTTTTCTTTCTTTTTTAGATAGTGAACCTTTTTATTATAACATTAATGATATAAATACAATAAGAATGAGGAAATCCATTTATTATTTTCTAAAGATTATAAAATAACATTTTTCTTTTTTAACTGAACAAAGATTTCAAGTAGATACTTCCTTTATTGAAATTGGCTGCTGAAAATGAAAACTTAGTATCAAAAATTGAAAACAATGTCTTGCTAGCCAAGCATTTTAACATTCAAAGCATTTCATTACGACTGAACAAAAATTTATTAAGAAACCATAACATAATAGATAACCAGTATTTTTTTTCCTTCTTACTCCAAATACATAATTAGCATTTTCTTCACATATATCATTTTCTTCTAAGAATGCATAATAAATGAAAATGATCATAATAAAAGGTTCAAATTTGAGTAAGCGAAAGGCATAATTTTAGAAGCCATTTAATAGTTCTCTGAGTAACTAGAACTGAATTGTTATTCTTTTTTTTATATTAATAAAATTAAGTCAATAAAAAGGCTTTTTTTTAAAGATATTTTCTTTTCTTAAAAAAAAATATTCTAAAAGTCATTTTATATTACCTGAGCCTTTTCGTTAGTTTTGAGATTCAATAAGAGATTCAATATAAAACATAATGCAATCATTTATTTGCAGGAACAACGTCATAACCCAAAAATTAATTTGTACATTTGGTTTAATATAAGGACATTTGATATCATTTATCTTGTTTTTACCACTATTCTATGGAGAAATAAATATTTTAGTTAATTCTTCATTAAATATGACCAAAATCAAATAACTCGAAATAACCATGCCAGAAATCCTTTTTTCTACATAGAGTTATATATAGAGTCTATATCTAGAATTAGAAATAGAGTCAGATTTACCTCCTCAATTATTGTCAAAACTAAATCAATGTATTAGAAAAAAGGTTATTTCTAATGGATTCCCTATGGAGATAACCTGTTTCCAGATTCTTTAATTTAGTTGCACTCAAAATTTAAGTTTTATGTAAGAATTTTTTAACATTGAATTAAATTATTTTTAAATTAGTTCTTTGCTTTTTTATTATGCATAGTTTTATTTTTTTTTCTATACTGTTTACCATAAAATAACTTGTTACCTAAAAGATATCTAAGTTCTCATATTATTTTTGCCCATTTTATTGAGGAAAAAATTTGGTGTGCATGTTTAGAATTGTTCTCTAAATTATTGATTTTAAAATATAATGTATCAAAACAATTTTATGGTTACAAATGTAGCATTTATATTAAAAATTGATTGATTCAACAAATTTTATAACAACTGCTGTTTGCTTGTAACTTTTATAGATTGGTAAAAAAAAGGCTTTTCTGAAGAAAAAAACAACTTACATGGTTTAAATATTAAAAAATAACCTGATAAAAAAATAAAATCAAAAAATTTTAAAACATGATTATGTTTAAATGATTTATGACATTGTTCTTGCAAATAATTGAATTGTTATATTTTTGCCTTCTATTTAAAAGTAAATTTCATTGTAAGAAAAATTGAACTATAAAGTTTTACCTAGATGTGTTTTCGTAGAAGAAATATACCTCATTATGAGGAATGTAAGAATGGTGTCATTAAAAACACAAAAAAATTATGGATGACACTTTTACTGCACCACTTTATGGAAGAAGTTAAGTTTCTGGCAGGATTTAATACTAACATATTAATTATTATTAATTTTCCAGTCATATATATAAACGTATATCAAAGTATAATAATTTGANTCATTAAAAACACAAAAAAATTATGGATGACACTTTTACTGCACCACTTTATGGAAGAAGTTAAGTTTCTGGCAGGATTTAATACTAACATATTAATTATTATAAATTTTCCAGTCATATATATAAATGTATATCAAAGTATAATAATTTGATATTAAGATACAATATTCTTAGGTTTAAAAAATTTTTTTTTATCTAAACAGAACAAGTTATTATTCAAAACAATTAACAAGACTAAAAAAATATCAAAGCTTGTTTCCAATAACATCTTCGTGCATATGTGTATAGTATACAATGATAGAATAAGTATTCAAATATTTACACTACTGATACAAAATGTAAGTGTATATACAGGATTAGGCTAAATAATTCATCCATTAAATTATCCGTCAAGAATGGTATTTAAAAGTATGTAACATCCAAACTATATAGGCTATTCAAGGAAACTGATATTAACAAATACATCAAAATAAAACGTTAAAAGCTTGTGGGTCAAATGGACCCTTCTTCCTTGACATTTAAGATCTTCAATTGCACACCAATAGGAACTAGAGTTAGAGGTAGGCCTAAGATCAGATGACTTGACTGTGTGGTAGAGGGTTCCAAAATCCTAAAAATTAGTAACTGAAGAACAATTGCAAAAAAAGGAGCAGAATGAAAGAAGGTTCTAGAGAAGGCTCTGGCCCACAAATGGCTGGCATGCCAATAGAAGAAGAGGTCACATGCAGACTGGGGATAACACAGAAAGGAAAAAGTTTCTAGTAACTTCTATAAATGTTCAATGTTTGCATCCTTGGTTTCCTGGCACACATCCTAATGGTAAAAAACAATTTTCGTCTATATATTCAATAGTATGTTTCTGTCAGTGTTTGTCACAATGCATTCCTGTTATCATTGTTGAGAAAGACGTTGATAGAATCATAATATTGGATATATGGACAAAACTGGTTTATCATTGGGATGCATGCTGGATAATCAAGGCTGCACACATTTGTAGTAGATACCCGAACATTCGAGTAAATAAATTGTTTCGTATAGTATCTTCCCCATGCAATCATATTCTATATTTGTAAACAAATAGTTCTTGGAATAATTTAGGCTAATCCCGTATTTTCCTTTCCAATATATAAACCTTTCCCATTTTCAAACTGTGTGCAACTCTACATTTGGTTAAAAGACATTTCTGATAATAGAGAACAAGCTCAGGAAGATTAAAATACACTGTGGTTTGCTGTGAAGTGCTAACAGAAAGTCAATTGCTTATTTATTATTTTTTTTAGTTTTAAATTATTGAATCTAGATATAAGTACACTTTATACGATTTGGTTTTAGTTTTAAAGTAATTAGATTATGCAAAAGAACCATATTACATTTAAAATTCAGAGGCATTTGTTCTTTTTATTATGATTTACATCTTATCATCAAATTGACAATATACAAAATATCAAGATACAATGTTTGTAATGCTTTATAAACTGATAAATTTATCAAACTCTAGTTATAAAGATGTTAATTTCTTATGTCTGTAGAAATATTTTACAATTTTGGGTATTTCTTTTGAATAAATGTTTAGTGAATTATGTTAAAATTTAATTTCTCTAAGATCTGAAGTTCTGTATATAATCCATCTATTTAGTATAAAGTTTACTGATATATCAATTTACAGATACTACATACTTTTTAGTGTAATGACATAAATTAATCATATTAAATGCAAAATAAATAATATATACAAATGAAATATAAATAAGTCAATATTAAATATTATTTTGTAACCTATTTAAAGTATTAGCATATTAATCTAGAAAAAAATTAAGCTTGTATCAATGAGAATGATTTTGGTTGTTTGAACATGTTAATGCATGGAAAGTAATATCTAAAATCAATTAAAAGAGTAATAAAAGAAGCTGTACAAAAATATATGCATTATTAAAGTATGTGATTTGATTCATATAAAGATTAGTTAAATATTAATCCCTTTACACAAATGATTAATTTGAACTACAATGTTTTTAAATATTTAGAAATAGTATAATTTCACAAGATGATTCTTCATTATTTGTATTGCATTAATACCGCGTGTCTATATAATGACCAAGGATTTTAAGCGAAAAATAGATGGAGATGCGTAAAAAAAAATGTACAGTTTGTTTCATACTGCTTAAGAAAACAAAAATGATCAAAATTAGCTTCAAGAATTTAAACTGATGGAGCTGCAAATTCTAAAACAATATTCTCTGCTGCATGTTAAACCATTCTGGCCATCTGTTAATTTTACTCTCCAACATTGCCTTATTGCTGCAAGGAGCGCTTATTTCCGAAAAATTGTTTTATAATTTATTTTCATTTCATAGTGCCATCTGCTGACAAGCTTTGTGAATAATTTTAAAATTCAATGTGAATAAATCCTTGTTTTCTAAGCAGAACATAACAACCTAAATATTTGCTTCCCCCCCTTTTTTTTAGTTCATTTTTCAATAGGCGGTCATTTTGGCACAACCAGTCTAATTAAAAAGTATGTTTCATTTTTCAACATGCATATAACAGTTCTATCACACATAAATAAACTTAACTTCAAACTTACAATTCATATACTTATACATTAAATGAATTACTGAAAGAAAAGAAAAAGGTTCAAATTGTAAGCAATTTTCTTTTACCTAAAAATTGAAAAGCGTAGTGGAAAGAAATGTTAAGTGCAAATTCAGAAAATATCTTTTGTAAAAAAAAAAACTTATTCATTTAAAGACTTGGTAGAGTTAATAATAAATAATAGTCGACCACAGTCTGAAAAATTTTCAAAATTTCTCTTAACATGTTGTTCCACTAAACTCTTGAATTACATGAAAGAATAAAATGTGCTCTTTAAATATAGTTAATATTAAAATAATCTTTTCTTTTTTTTCTTTTGCCAATATGAAGTTAGAAAATTGTATATATAAACTATTACTCCTAATTTCAATAGTCCTTCATATTTTTAGTTTTCTAAACAAAATATGCATGTAAAGAAGTATTGTTTATATATTTCTGATTAAATATTATCAATAGTAGTAGTTATATATCTGCTTATATTAATTTTTGAATAGAATATTGGTAGTAAAAAGGGTAAATATATCTTTTTGACATGTTTGGAGATTTCATAATAAAGTTTATTATTTTCTGTACTTCTTAGAAAATGAAAATATTGAATTTAATGAACGGTATTGCCTGTTCTGTTTTAATAATAATTTCTTTTGTGTATGCTTGTTTTTTTTTCTTGCTAACATTAATCATTTAAAAAACATTTTCATGAGTTAATCATAAAATTCATACTATTTAATTATATTTCTTAAAAATATTATATTATGGTTATAACAGAAATCAACTTGTGGTCAAGCTATCATAACTAATACTTAATTTTATATTTATAAGGGCACTCTTTTTTTTTCGTGAAATATAACACCTATAAAATGACTCCTTGTTACTGTTCCTTCTTAATTTATCTTCAAAAAATTAATCCTGTTTTAGGGCTACTAATCTTATACTTTACTTATTTTTTTTTTAATTTTGTACCTATATATTTTAATTTAAAGAATTTTTCAAAAACAGATTATGTGAAATTAAGATTACTCAATAATTTTTATAATAGCTGTGTGGAGTTTCACAGCTTCTTTCAATAAGATTCAGTTGGTCTTCGATCTTAGATTTTTTTAGAAATAACAAAATACTTTTTTTTCTTAGTAAAAAATGCTTGTTTTTACCATTATTTACTAACATATTAAGGGTCTTTTTTTATCTACCAATTAATAATTTTTAATACATTAACTGAAATGGCTCTGACTTAACTAAGTTATTTCTGCCAGACCAGCCATGAATATTACTAGACATTGTTTTACATAAAAAATAAGAATTTTAAAAAAAATAAAAATAATTTTTCAAAATATGCAGCCAAATGTAACCGTTTCAAATGCTTGTGTCAAATTTGGATTGTATAATTCAAACTCGAATTTTGTTCCATATAACTTTCATTCCTCTGCACAAATAATGGAGTTAGAGCACATTTTTTTCTTTCAATTGCATCTAATGATATATAAAATACCCTATGCATTTTCTAGATGCTTTTAAATTTTTTAGTCCGGTGATAAGTAGTGCTTTCACTATCTTCATCAGTAGAGTGTTGATGAACTTGGGTAGACTTGGTTAACTCTTCAGTTAACAACTTATTCTCCAGCAATTTTAAGATGTGCCTGTCTGACATTTGCATGGCTAACTCAAATGCAGATCGACCAGAATAGTCGGCAATATCAGCACTGGTGCCACATTCCAGCAAGAGTTTCACCATATCTGTATTTTGCCCCATAATTGCGTGCATTAAAGGTGTTCGCCCACTCTTACCATCCTAGAGTAATAAAAATAGCAGATTAGAACTGTTTAAGCATTTACATTCATATTCCTTATAAGAAATTTGTAAACAATCAACTTTTAAATTTTATCAAAAATAGTTTGTAATTAGAAAAAAAATGTTTCATTTAATCGTAAATTAAAAAATATTGTTAAATTATCAAAAATAATAACAGTTATCAGCCGAATTTGTAGCCACAATATTTATGAATTGAATCAATCTTCAATTGAAATTTCGACCTGTTAAGACTCTTAAATTTTTACTGGAGCTCTGTGCTGAATGACCTAATACTAAGTTTCAATCAATATCTGCAAATTACAAGCAAAAACTGATACAAACAAGAGTTACTGTCTTTTTATCACATTCAAAGGGAGCATAAAAAAATGTGAGATACATTCAATTCAATAAGTATCAGTAACCATAATTGAAAATCAGTTTTTTTTTTTAAAAAAATAGGATTAACAGTGAAATACATACCGTTATATTCATATCGGCCCCACTACGATATAGGCAGGATATAGCTAACTTGTTGCCTTTAAGAACAGCATAATGCAAAGGAGTATAGCCTGGAAAAATAATATAAATCATTACTGTTTTAAAGGAACTCTAAAAAAAATTTCATCTATTTTCTAAAAGTTTTTTCTTTTCTATTTGAATTTTCTAAAGAATACTCCAACTTTTTTTTCAATTAGAAAATTTTTGAAAAATCGGAATTAAAAAAATAGTCATAAAATTTAAATCTATTTTAAGCATAGATAAAAAATCTATGTCTAAAAATTCAACTATAAAAGTTTTCATTTTTTATTAGTATCCTTCAGAAACATTCTAAAATTAACTGTAGTCTAGTTTGAATCCTTAACTAAAATTAATGATTCAAATTTAGAACATTAACTAAAATTTTTTACTTTTTGCAATACAAAAAATAATTATTGCACCAAAACAATTTGAAATAAAAAAATATACATCTTTTAAAGCAACTGATTTAAAATAAAATGTTGTAGCTTTTATAATTATTTACAATTTTAAATATATTTAGGTAACTAATTGTTTTACAATTTGTGTGCAAAGATAAGAAAAAGCCTTAAAATAGATAAATAATGCCAAGATTTTACCTTCATGGTCCATGGAGTTGAGTATGGAGTTTGCTTGTGGATGAGACAGAATTAGGCACAGGACGTCTTTTTTTACTTCCGTTTTCACTGCTAAATGGATAACAGAATTTCCGTTTCTATCCTTCATTGTAAGAGATGAACCACATTTTAACAATAATTTTACCATTTCTATGTTGCCTAACATGACGGCTAAATGAAGAGGTGTCTAGAATAAAAACAGATAACATTTAATTATTACAAAATTAAACAAAAAATTTTCTCAACATTTTATAAAATGCTATTTTTTAACATTTGGACTTAGGAGATAAGATCCTTAAATGAAAAAGTGGGAGAACATAAATACCTGGCGTAAGTAGTTAGTAAGATCAATCGATATTGTGGCTTTCAGCATGATGGCGCACAGCTTTTGTACAAGCTTTAAATTTTCTTGAACTACTGCCACATGAATTGGCCTGAAATAAAACAAAAAATTTACTTTATTACATATTGTATACTTTTTATTTCAAGTTCAACAATAGAAGAAAATAAACAAACTATTATTTTCCCCCCAATATTCTAGGTGCTGAGTGAACTTTTGTAAACTATAATATTTTGTTACTTCAGTACATTTTGAGTAAATTTATCTCAAAAAATAAGCTAAATATGTGTGTTTTTCACTATTACTTTTTTTAAAAAAATTACTTGAAAATGTTTAAGAAATTTTATTAGATAAAGGTTAAAATTAAAAACACTTTCATTACTTAATATTGTATTTTTTAACAATGCTTATAAATTGTTTAAAAAAAAGTTCTAGTAGCTCTATTAACAGTGAGGAGGATTCTAGTGAAGAACATTTCATGTAGTCATATTATTTTCCCCACAAATTCGCTTTCATATTAAAATATCGGTTGAAATTAATAATTAGCAAAAGTAATTTTACACAGCATTTAGTTTTAATTATATGTTGATGTCCTAAATACTGCGCAAAATTTTGCTAATTAATAATCTTAACCGATATTGTTAAATATGTTTTAGATATGATGATAGCGAATTTCTAGAAACTGTTACTGTGCATCGAGAACATGGTGAGAACAGAGGATTTTTTAGGACAGCATGAGTTAAGAGATTCATTGACTTATAAGAGCCAAGTGTTGGTGGCTCTGAAAATCCGAACTTGTCTATCTCAAACATCTTCTATAAATTATCTTAATTGTAAATAAATGTTTGGTATTTTTATAATTTACTAATTTTTTAATTCTGTTAACAAATGAAAAACCAAAAACAACTATTTTGTTTGTTGTAACATCAGGTGAACAAAAAACTATACTTATGTTTGTTAAATTTTGAATGAAATTGGTTGATAAGTAAGTTTTTCTGGAACAAAAAAAAGAAAAAACAATATTTAAAGAGTCGTAGTTTTTAAAATTATGAATTTAAGACTCCCTCTTTCAAAGCTAGAATTTTGTGAAAGGTTTGCTTTTAAAATGAAAAATATAGTAAAGGTTCCGTTTTTACAATAAAATAATTGATGAAAAGCCCGTTTTTATTGTAAAATATTTTGTGAAGGGGTCCGTATTTAAAATAAATTATACTGTGAAGGTACCGTTATTACTATAAAATGTTTGTCAAAGAGTCCGTTTTTTGGCTAAATTCTTTTTTAAAAATCCGTTTCAACGATAAAAGAATGTGTATAGTATCCAAATATCTCCTTGATATGTGTAACCAATAAATTTATCACTAACAAAAACTAAACACATTTAACCGAAAGTTAAATTTCGTGCCACAGAAAGGAAAATAAATCGATGTTTCTAAATCTGTATCAACTTGTTTTAACTGTTCTTAAAATTCATCTTTATTACAGCCAATAATTGTGCATTTTATTACATACAACCATATAAGTTCTGAATTAAACTGTAAAGCAAGTTTAATTTATATGAGATAAACTATTTGCAGCAATAAAATATAAAAGTGCGCTAGAACTATTTAGTGGACAAAGGGTGTTAAAAAAAAACATTTCTAATAAATTAAATCCTTTCCTTCTTAAACGAAATTGACGTCTAACAACAAAGGATATAACATTGTTTAATCATTACTAATGAATGAGCAAATATAATTTTACAACTAATTAAAAGCCATTGGTCCCCCCCCATATTAATTAAATAAATTATCACAAAAATATTAAATACATTTATCAATCTAGCTCTAAATTCTTTTAAATATAGTTTAATTTCAACCTAACACGATTCAATTGCAAATTAATTGTTTTGTTTTCTTAAAAAAAGAAAACGAGCAATCAAAAATCAATCAAGTATTATTCAAACCTTTTTCCTTACGCGAAAAAGAAGCTACGGTATAAAAAAATAAATTCCCAATTAGATTGCGTCACATAAATAACTCTCTACATCCTGTTGCTTGTTATACGGTTTGAAGAGATCTCTCATAATACGGATCTAAAAAAAAAACTATAAACCTATTTAATTGTTTTTCATTAATAGATAATTAATTAATTGATTTTTAAACTTAATTAATTAATTTTTAAATTAATTTAAATATTGAAAAAAATTTATTCTTTCTAAAATTATTTAAAAAGAGAGCTAAGTAAAATTTAATTTTTTAATCATTGATTCGATAGCAGGATTACATTACTTCCCCGGTACATAATCATGTAGTAGGAAGAAATTGTATGAAATTGCATTATCGACGGATGCCGTACAATATTGTATTCAGAATGTCACAAATGCTTCAATATCGTTCAGCGTTCACAATGTCAATCAATATCCGATCAGTATCTAACAATATCCCTGTGTTATTTGGGAAGTAATTCTATCATAATTTATCTGTAATTTCAATTTTAGCATCTGAAAGTTCACAATTTTCTCTAGATTTACTTAAACCCAGTTATAACGTCCTCTTAACGATCTATATTATTCAGCAAAAATATCTTAAGCCTCTGTATCGTTATCGTATAGTTGTAATGAAAAGTTTAAGATAGAAAGGGTTTATTGATCAAAGATGACAATTATATAAACATACATAAGAGAATAAAGAGTAATTGGCATTGGTGACAAAGTAAATCATTTTAACAATTGTATTCCGTATCTTTCTTTCGAGATAAATAATAGATATCAATATCAGTTTATAGCCATTTGTGACATTATTTCTATTAAAAAACTATTTTTTGCGTAAAACTGAAATCTACTGCGATCGAATTTTGATTGAATTTCAAGGCACAGAAATATTGAAATTATTTCTAACCATATTGCTTCAGTGCTATATACAGCGAAAAATGAATAGTGAGAATGTAGTGCCGACGATATTTTACGTTACTAAATCGGACAAAAAAAAGCGTACTTTCTCTAAACAAATCCAAAATTTAAATTGAATCAGTCAAATTACGAGAAATAAAAACTTAAATCTAAAAAATATTAAAATTTTGCTACTAGAACTATTCAGTAGTAGCGAAAAATGGTCTAATTGTCTTTTACCTCCACAATATTAATACAAGTTTTTTTTTCTTTTTCCTTTGTTAAACTTTTAAAAAAATTAACAATTTCATGTTTTTATAAAAACGTACAATGCGCAAAAAAAGAAGGAAAGAAACCCTGAATAACTAGTGATCCTAACGATCAAATTTTCATATACTAGGACTCAATATTAATGGTTCGAGTGCTGACCTCAAATATACTAATAATGCAGACGATATTTAAAAGTTACGAAAGCAGAATTTAAAAAAAAAGAACGCACTTTCTTAGAATAAATTTTGCTGCTAAAACATGCTAATACATTGCAAATACATTTCTTAGGACAGATTTTCATTCCCGATCCCCAAAATGTAGGGGATAGCCACAATCTGGATAAAATAGTCCCAATAGAATGTATGTGCAGCATTTATAAGTTTGAACCCTTTAATGTTGTTGATTTTACTTTTACGTTTTTCACCATATCGGAGGAAAGCGAAATGAAATAATTTTGCACAGAATTATAAAATTCATTTATTCAAACATAGTTCCGTGCAAAAAAAAAAAAAAAAAAAAAAAAAANAAAATGAAAAAAAAAAAAAAAAAAAAATTCTTATAAACAGGGTTCCCACTCAATTTCAGGAGGAAAAAAAATTCCTAATTTTTTTCAGGTATAATCAGGAAAATTTCAATGAAAATCCAGACCATATTTTATCTACTTTGATTTTTTTTTAATTTGATATGTCAAATTTGAAATATTTTCAGCAAAAAAAAATCATTGAATGAGAATAGAAACATGGAAGTTTCACTAAAATATGAAATTTTTAAAACAAATAATTCTAATATGTGTTAGAATTATTTAAATCGGATCTCACTAACTAATTACTGTTGCTAACAATTCTTAAGACTGGTCATTTTCCAGGTATGAAATAGGAATTTTTCAGGTTTTTATAAAAAATTGGAAATTTTTTTCCTTGACTATTCCCTGCTTTTTAGAGTCGAAATAAAATTTCCTGACAATTTCAGTTTTTCCCCGTTCTTCCTGACCCGTGGAAGTTCTGATAACTTTAATCAGCCCCTTGAACCATTAAGATTGAGTCGTAGTATATGAAAATCAGATCATTAGATCAAAAGTCAACCAGGGTATTACATTTATTTATTTTTTTGCTCACTGTACTTTAGTAATCGGGCCGAGTACCCAGGATTCGCCCAACACTGAAAAATTATAGGGGCAGTGAACAGACATAAAATGCTATTAAGTAAGAAAAAAATTCAAATGAAAATCTTATAATTTATTTAAGTCGTCAAAAAAATAGTTGATGAAAGAATTGAATAAATAAGAATTAATTTCATAATAACAGAATTTATGCATTTGGTAAACATTTTGAGCAGTCACCTGTCACAGATGTTGGCAAAGTAAATAATTCTGATTGCGCATGTATCCAAAGTACTAAGCACGAGTCTTTTGAATTTGGGGTTATTGCTTTTATCTAAAAAAAAAAAAATCTCTGTTGATAACAATTCTTGTTTTAATTGTAAAACTCAGCCAAATAAAAACGAATTGTTTCGAATAACTTTTGATTCAGTAACCAGATTTTAACAATTACGATATAAACTTCAAATTTTAATAGGCCCATCTAAAATAGGTATATTAATTACATAAAGTTAAAAATTAAATTGCCCTTTCTCTGAATAAGTGAAGATTTTGTTTTTGACGGATCTGAACTAGGAAAAAGAACGAAAGTATTTGGTGTGAAATAGATTATGTTAATTGACATTAATATGGTGTAAATAAAGAGTGCCATCCAAGAAAAATTATTATATTTTTTTCTACAATTTAATAAACAAGATTATTGCAATTACTTGATTTTTTTTTTATAACCGTCGTTGAACAGCCGACCCAAATTTTATGGGTTTACGACTACTAATGTTCAACTCCGTAGCCTTGTAATTTTGAACCCAATCCAGAAGACAAGGGAACTCCTGGATCAAGTATTGGGAGAAATTTGCCTTCGTGGAGGACTTCTTGATGAAGCTAACCCGGATTTGCGTTACATGGAGAGGACGACCGCGAGAACCTCCCACGATTAGCCTGACGGCAAGGGGGCTCCAACCCATGATCCGTCTACCACTGAGGATATTTCACGTCAGCACTGTGATCGGTGCAAGCCGGATGCGGAATTCGTATCGACTGGAATTCGAACCCAGTTCGCCTAATTGGAAGGCGAACGCTCTATCCTCTGAGCCATCGCGGCTCTACTTGATTTTTTTAATCAAATTTGGGGAAAAATGAGGTTAAAGGTTTGTCATGTTGGCGTTAAAACAGGATAGACTTGCCCACAATAGACATTTAAGACCCCTTGGATTAAGAGAGGCAGAGTATCAAGAGGTAGTTATTATTTAATTAGTTTAGTTTCAGAATTATGGTTAACGAAAATTAATTATTATGTTCTAAAGAAAATGAATACATTCTAATATACTATTATCATCTGAATTCTTCATTTGATTACATCCAAATCTGCGTACCCTTTATTCTTGCAACACTGGGCTTTTTTGCACACCCGTTTTGGATAAATCTACACAACTCTTTTAATGATCGATAATTGGCCCCATCTATCCCTCCAATATCAATAATATTTTTGGTAGACCATCAATTTATCCCCTGTTTCAATCCCAAAGTTTAAGTCTTTGAATAAATACTAAAATCCCTGCGGCAGAATTCCAGCGACATTGTCGCAGAACGTTACTAAGTTCTTGCTTTTGAAAAAAAAAATTGTTCTTTTCCACAGAAATTTACACGTAATATTTGAATCAAGCATTTAGATAACCACTTTTGATGCTCTCAATTTACGACGATAGTATCGTAAATCGATGTAATGTTTCGATTGTATTTTCGGCAGTTATTGATATTGATTTTCACGTGGATTTTAACCATCCCGATATATTTCAAACAATATGGAAAATTCGAATCGTGCATTTGAGTATTTACCTTTTGAGGCAATAATTCTCTCAAATTTTTGGCAGTTATTGCTATTGATTTCTCCATGGTTTTTAAACCCGATATCTTTTATGCGATACTATTTATTACAACAACGTAATCTCAAAACGAAACACGCATTTGAGGAGCCCGATTCGGGTGATTTCGTTGTTAATCTTTTTTTCGGTAATTACTACTACGGATTTCATGATTTTTAATTATATTTTTTATTGCGATAATTATTTACAAAATGCGAAGAAGGAAACTATTTGTGTGTCTCTCCCACAAATTGCGAGAATCACCCATAATATTAGAATAAAAAAAATTATTACATGCTTTATTAAAAAAAAAATTATTTAATTTTTTTTTGTAATCACAGCGCTTTTGTTATTTTAAATTTGTAACATATATGTTTGTTATTATGTTAAGTATCTTGCAGAAAGACATTAGTGACAGAGTTTTGTAGCAGATAGCTCGAAAAAATTCTGCCACAGGGCCTAAAACATATCATTTAAATATTTTTTCAAAATTATTGAAAAATGTCAAGCTTCCTATTTTTTAAGTAAATCAAAGGAGAGAGTTCAGATTAAATTATTGAGGCAACAATTTACTTTGCCTTAATATAAATAAATTCTGTTAAAGCGTTTTTAATTGGTGGTCCACGGCCCCTGTGGACCACCAATTGGACCAATGGACCACCTTAGCGAATTAGTTTCATATGCAAAATGATTTCAGAAAACACACAGGGTTTCTAAGTTCAAATTAAAAGATTTTAAAAAAATGATAATAATTTAAAATAAACCAAAAATGAACACGTACCAATATTTCTAAGCAATGAATTACTATAATAGTGGAATCTTAGTTATCATTAATTATTCATTTTATTTTAAGGCGTCTCATTGAATGTTCAATCATTATTATTATTACATTTTGTCCAAAATAAGATTTACATTTTTTAACTTTTCGAAAATCTGAAATAAAGAATGTGTTAAACACTAAAAGAAAGTCAGTCTCTAAAAATTTGAAACCGCAAGATGTTCTTTTTCATAAGATCTTATCTTGCTTTAAGAAATTTCTTTATTTGTCTGCAGCTCAAGAACCAATCGAAAGAAATATGGGTCTTAACTTTAAAATTAACATACTTGTAAGCACAATCTAAACGTCTTAATAAAAAGTCTTATGACCTACGGAGGGGTGCATAACCTTTTTGAGTGAAGGGCCACTTTCACAGCAGGCAGATTAACAAAGGGCCGCACGCATATTTAGTCATGTTAGTGGCAAACATGATAATTTTTGTCAAAACATGAGTGTTCTAAGCACTTAACATATTTTCAGAAAATGGAATACTTTTAATTATTTGAATTTATTGAAAACTAAAAAAACTAATGCTTTTTTTAAAGAACTTTTTCCATTTTTCACAATAATTTTATTAAAATTTTATTTATAAATTTTATAATAATAAATTTTATTTGTAAATATTATAAATTTTAATTAAAGAAAATTTTTAATGTTTAAACAAAAACCAAATTAAAAGAATTTTTTTTATTGCGTTCAGAAGCTCCCGCGGGCCGCACATCAACAGTCGGCGGGCCGCAGGTGCACCCATAACATACAGGCTTTTTCCCAGTGTTCTGCTAATTTGCAGGCTTTTTCTTAGTGCTTTACTAATTTTCAGGCTTTTTCCTAGTGTTTTACAATTATCAGGCTTTTTCCTAGTGTTTTACTGATTTTCAGGCTTTTTCCTAGTGTTTTACTAATTTTCAGGCTTTTCCTAGTGTTTTACAATTTTCAGGCTTTTTCGTTGTGTTTTACTGATTTTCAGGCTTTTTCCTAGTGTTTTACTAATTTTCACGCTAGCGTTAGGGTGAAATAATGCTTTTTTTGTTCAATTTTTTTTTCAGATTAAAAAAAAGCAAATTTAAAAAAATAGTTATTATTTTGATTATTTTTTTATAACTTGTTTAGGTTCTTCAGAAATCAAAGTCCCTAGGTTTAAATCAAAGTCCCTATAGGTTTATTGGACCTATAAAACATAAGCAAGATCTGCCACGGTTGAAGCTGTGTAATAATAAATAATAGTAAATAATGATGACTCATAATAGATTGAAATTTTAGCTTACCTATCCCCATCAGCATCTGAGATCATGGCTATCTGCATTCTGAGAATTCTTAATTCTTTCTTATTAAATACGTTTTGCGATTCTTTGGACGAACGTCGAGGTGATTCCTTCGTCCGATTCACTTCTTCACGACTTCCACCGATTCTTTCAGAAAAAGAATCAATCGCAACAGCTGAAGACTCAACAGCTGAGTGTTTGCGTTTGGTTTGCAAATTATCACAGTTGACCATTGAAGGCAGTACGTTTACTGAGTCTGAATTTGACAGTTCTGGAAGTTGAGTATTATCGAGATACAGTTCGGATACAGTAGAAAACTCAATCGTGTTCCTGATCATATCATACTTAACAATGCTGTTTGTTTTAGATGAATTGATCTTTACAGCTTAAATAAACCTAAAAAAGTAAATTAAAATGATTAGGATTTTAATATGGCAGTAAACACAGAACGCATTCAAGTCTTAACAGGTTGATAAATTTACTTCTTTCATAATTCCAAGATGTTTCACTATTTATTCTTTGTAATCCAAACGAATAATATATAACATCAAGATTATGCGTTTGAATGAAATCAAACACAATCAGAACGATTCAGCATTTTATATCTCTTAAAGAGCTTCTACAAATCATAGGTGATAAAAAATAAATCCCAGAAATACTTCAAAAATTCATATTGCAACTTTGTTAGTGAAACTGGTAAGAACTTAGATAAATTTTTAGAAACTCTCATTCAAACAGATATTTACGTCTATTGATCGGTGAGTAAAACCTTTTCATTCCTTATCAAATGTTTCCAATTGAGTAGGAGTAGGATTTTTATTTGGGGCAATATTTATATAATTTACTGCATGAGATAATGATAATGAGATAAGGAAAAATTGTGATAGCTACTTAAATTTATTTTTCAGAAAAAATATGCTTTTTAAATTTTAAAAAGAAAAAAAGGGGGGAATGTTGCTACATTACTTCATGGAGAAGAATTAAAAAAGAGTAACTTTTTTTACAGAAAAGAATGAATGAAGGACTAATTTATTTTTATTTTTTTCTTTCAGAGATAAGATTAGAATAAATAATTCTTTAAAAGGGAAAAAAATTTGTCAGTTCTTTCATAAGGGAGACTAAATTTTTAATAATTCTTTCAGAGAAAAGAGTTGAAAGAACAATTGTTTATAAACTCTTTCAGAAAAAAAAGTAGTAGACTATGCAACAAAAACATTAGTTTTTGTTAACATAAAAAATAAAGAGTCCATTTTTTTATTAATTCCTCTCGAAAAAAAAATTAAAGCACAATATTTTTATGAATTATTTCAGAAGAAAAAAAATTTAACTAAGAATTATTTTTCGCCATATTTGCTAGAATTTTGTGGAAAGTTTAGCCCATAGCAATTTTCTTTCGTTTAAATTTTATTTCATAACAAAGAAAAAGTACTAGTGAAAAAAATTCAATGAAAACCTTTGTTTTACATAATGTATTAAATTAATAAATACACTTATTTGTAAGCATAAATACTGTTATGATATATGCTATGAATTTGATATAATAAATTTTTGAGGCGAATCATTTAGATCCGGGTATTACTATTGATATAGACAATAAAAAAAAATTACTGAATCACAAGAATTCGCTTTGTCTGGGCAGAAGAATAAGTAGAAAAGAAGTAAATGTTTTTAGTAAAATAATTTGCATATAAATCTTTATTTTGATTAACAATAAAAAGGAAATTGGGTACTTGCACTTCAAGAAGAAGAGCACGCATACCCACACAAGTGACTTATGACGTCAGCGCCTGCTGGTCGTTTATAAGCAAAATGGCGTGTTAAAGTTGAGCTAAGTTTCTCCACATAAGTTAGAATGATAATTAACGTGAAGTTAATTAAATATAGCGCCGTATCACACATCNAAAACGGACCCTGGTTGAAAGAATGTGAGTAATTTTTTCACAATTTCACGAAAAACGGACCCTTCACAAAATGTCTGGACAGACCCCTGATAAATCTTTGAGGCGAATCATTTAGATCCGGGTATTACTATTTATATAGACAATAAAAAAAATTTACTGAATCACAAGAATTCGCTTTGTCTGGGCAGAAGAATAAGTAGAAAAGAAGTAAATCTTTTTAGTAAAATAATTTGCATATAAATTTTTATTTTGATTAACAATAAAACGGTACTTGCACTTCAAGAAGAAGAGCACGCATACCCACACAAGTGACCTATGACGTCAGGGTCAGCTGATCGTTTATAAGCAAAATGAAGTTGAGCTAAGCTTCTCCACATGATAATTAACGATAATTAAATAATTAGAATGATAATTAACCAGGGGTCTGTCCAGACATTTTGTGAAAGGTCCGTTTTTGTAAAATTGTGAAAAAAATTACTCCTAATTTGTGAATATAAAATAACGTTAAGTCCCATTCTTTCAACCAGGGTCCGCTTTCGTGAATTTTTGAAAATAGGGTCCGTTATTGCAAAAAAAAAAAACTTTCTCAAGGAGTTTTTTAATTGTAAATAGATACAAGATTATGCTCAACACTGTAAAATTATAATTAAAAAAATTACATTTTAAAAAATAAACAGCAAATGCAGCTACTAAATTAGCGATGCAACATACAAATATTTGGTATTTAACCTATACTGCTGAATGCAGAATATTCATTTCAGACGAATAAAGGATGAAGCGTCTGCCGAAGACTAAATTTAGTTCCGTTTACATCCGTCTTTCTCCCCCCCCCCTCTCCTGGGAAGGGTTTATTCGATTAACAAAACAATAATGAAGATAAACAAATTTGTGAAGGGTCCGATTTAAAGATAAATTATTTTGTGAAGGGTCCGTTTTTAAGTTCAAATGTTTTGTGAAGGGTCCGTTTTTATGAAAAGATATTTTGTGAAGGGTCCGTTAACGGACCCAAATTTCTTCTAAACAGACCCCTGTTAACGTAAAGTTAATTAAATATAGCGCCGTATCACACATCGAATTTAATGAAATATAATTCTTCCTCGTTATTTGATATTCGTTATAAAATACATGAACAAATAATAAATAAATTTATTATTTGCTCATGTATTTCATTTCTACTGTAACCGTGATTTATTTTTGTTTTGTGGACCTGGAAACTTCGATGCATAATTTGTTTATGTACTACACGGCTTTGTGCCTGTCTTTGAGTTAAGTAAGAAATATATAGTGAAAAAATTGAAATCTTTGTGTAAGAATATAGAATGTGTCACTTGAGAAAATTGATACTTGAAGGGGTGTGGTTTACTAGAAATAGAATGGAAAGAACAGTTGCTAAAGTTAATAAACACTACGTTTCAACAACCAATCAGAATCGAGATGCCCACACTACGTCAGTTGCAGGTATCACATTGCAGATAAGTGCCCAATTTCATCAGAATATGCTTATTTAGATAGCTATAACCAGTTGTTAGTATAACCAGTTGTTAGTATGATAGCTATAACCAGTTGTAGTTACTAGGTGTCGGGACTTTAAAGAATAAGATTAAGCGAGGCTGGTCGAAACAAGATAAATAATGAAGAAAACAATATAATCTGCAGTGTTTAAATCAAAAACGTCAGCTGTAAATTTTTTTTCTCATTTTTATATTATTTCAGTACAAAACGAGACTGACTTTTGGTTTTAAAAGACAAAATTTGTTTCGGATATACTTAGAAATGCGATTTAATAAATTAATGTTTCTCAATTGTCTATTCAGTTTTTCAATGTGTGGGTATCCGTGATCTTCTTGAAGTGACGTAGTGTGTGTATCTCGATCCCGATGGGTTGTTGAAACGTGGCATTTGTTTATGTTAGCTACTGTTCTTTCCATTTTATTTAGAGATTTGCCAATCCCGCCATGTATCAATTCTCTTAAGTGACACATTCTATATTCCTTCACAAAGATTTTAATTCTTTAACTATATATTTCTTACTTCATGCAAAGACAGGGATGAAGAAAACATAAACAAACTAATTATGCATCGAACAATAAATTCAACCGAAATCGATACGGTTCTGTATTTAATTAACTTTACGCTAATTAACATTCTAACTTACGTGGAGAAAGTTTGCTCTACTTGAACAAGCAAATTTTACTTATAAAGTCTCAGCTGGCGATCACGTCATGGGTCACATATGTGTAGGTATCCGAGATCTTCCTGAAGTGCAAGTATTCAATGCACTAAATCACATTTTTAATTAAATCACTGGTGATTCTACTAGTTTAAATCTATATTACTGATCGTTGACAATTCATTGTTTTCATCATAATTTATCTTGCTTTGGCTAGCCTCGAAAAATCTTTCTTATTTTGCAAGTGTTACGATTTATAAAAATAAGTCCTAACACTTGTTGAAAAAAAAAAAAATTAAGAAAGTAACATAAATTATAGGTAATTCAATTTTTTTCCTTCTTTTAATTGTTAAGAAGCATAATTTCTTATAAATACTGAAAAGGCTGTAAACAAATAAATATAATTAAAATACTTGTGAATTCCTATTAGTAAGATCTAAATTTTGGTTCATTAATTTTTAATTCGTTCTTAAATGTACTAATTTTCTTTCTAAAAATTTAAATCCTCTATCTTATGACAGTTTTCGTCACATATTTAAAAATAATAATTTTAACGCTATTAAATTTTCGCATCTCAAATTGAGTTAAATATTTCTTTATAAAAAATTTATGATACTAAAATAAAATATTATTAAAAAAAATTTCCAAATTTTACAATTTATTACATTTTTTAGTGAATACGCAATTTTTTAATCAGACAATATGATTAAAATAGAATTCTAAATCAAAATAAATATAATGGAACTTAAATAAATAAATACATTAAATTCAAAGTAAAATATAACTAAACAAAATAAACGCATTGAATTTCAAATTTAGTTTAATTTCAATTAAAAATATAACATTTATATATAAAAAAAATTTAAAAATTAAATAAAAAATATACATTAAATTTTAAGTTACAAACATGAATATTCAATAACATTAACCAACATTCATGAGAATTAAAACCAAATTGAATAGCTAGTTTTATTAGCAACTGCATAATTGAAAAAAAAAATTCATAGTAAATTTAATAAGAAGAAATTTTACTCACATTAACGCTTTCTAGCAAAAAATGACTACAAAATTATACTTTAAACGATGTTAGGATGATAACTATTACAACATGAAAAAGGGGAATATTGAGCGAGTGCAAGTTTCACTTCGAATTGGTTGCGAAAAATGCGGTTTCATTTTATTGGACCGGGAATTTCCCTCGTTTTTCCACACGTCATTTCATCTAAAAGGATCATATAATTGTTCAAAGGGATTTCCCGGAAATAACCATTTTTCCCGTTTTTTGCATAATACTGTTAAAGGAAACAATACTTCACAACAATATT